CAGCCGTCGACAGCCGGCCGATTGAGGCTAGAGACCGCGAGGGCTATCTTCCGGCACCTCGCGCGGGACGTTGCCACACTGCAATAGTCATTGCGGGGCTACAGCGCAGCTCGACCACGACGCTGCACAAGCTGGTCATCGCAGTACTCAATGCAAATGGCGTGCCATTCCTCGATTTTGGCTATTGGGCGCTCCAATACCACGTCGTCAACGAGACGTGGTCGGCGGCGGGCGTCGCCGACTACATTTCGCGGCAGCGTGCGTCTTGGACGCTACTCCAGCCTTCGAGTGTCGTCATCTACAAGTCGCACGAGTTTAGCGACCGGCTCGCCTCGCTCTGCGACCGCACACTCGTCTTCCAGACGCGCCGCTGTCTACCGGAGCTGATGGCGTCGTGGATTGCACTCAAGTGGGTGGAGGCTGAGCAGAGGCACCCACCCGCCCCTGCCTCGAGCACGCAAGGAGGGAGAGAGCGCGCGCGTAGCACGCGACTACAGGGCCTTAGAGGCCGCGCTTTACCCCGCCGCAGGCCCCTGGAGGAGTTTCTGCGAGCGCAGCTCGCACACTATGGCATGTGGCAGGCACCTTGCTGCCCACAGCACCCCCTGCTAAGCCGTCCACGACCCCGCCCACCTCCCACCGCCTGCTTTCCCGCGCCCACCAACCACACACAAATCCACTCACGCACGCATCATCTCGCTGCAGCGGGGATCCCATCGGGTGCTCAACCTACGGTCCAACGACCTTCGCTCCGCGCCGATGGAGACGGCGCATCGCATTGCGCGCTTCCTCTATGAACTCACTCCCCTCTCCGATCACGGACGAAAATTGGCCGCACGCAACCTGACCGATTCGGTGATGGCACTACGCAAGGCCGAGGTGCGATGGACCCCGCAAGACTCCCAAAGCTGCCACTATTCGACCGCAGCCGGACGCCGCCGGCGGTTTGCACGCAGAAGGGCCACCTGTAAAGCCACTACTGCCCGCGTGGGGCCAAGCGCAGACAACGCTCCACCGCCAGCATCCATCACCTTCCCGACCCCAACCCTCCCCAGGGCAACCCGACCATCCCGTCGTCGAGCGACGACTTCCGGGTCGGGGAGAGGATCCGCGGTGTTATCCAGGCGGTGCGGGGCGCGGTCTCTGGCGACCCCTCTAGCGACCCCGTCAGCCTCCTGGAGCTGAGTTGGGAGTGCACGCTGCGGGTCCGCGAGCCGCTCCAGAGACACATCCTCGTATCTCTGATGACTTCTGGGCTATCACGAGCACCCTTGCCCCAGTCCCTCTTGAGCTCGCGCTCCCCAGCCACGATACGTGAGGGCGGCACGGTTCCGCACGCAGTACGGCTTTACGCCCACGACGAGCCGTTGCATGTCGTCTGCTGCAGGTCTGCGTGCCGCACGACTCGCGCCTGTCCTTCTTTATCAGTCAGCGTGGTAGCATCAGCGCCCTCGCAACGGGACAAGGAAGCCGCGCCGAGACCTACGGGTCGGGGCGCGTCGAGTACTACATACACTCACCCGAACATCCGGGGCCGCTAGACTGCAACGTCGCAGTCCGCCTTCTGGCGACGTCGCCGCCGCGATTCAACGGCACCAGGCACTTCGCCGTCCGCAAGCCGGCGACAATCGCGCGCAGTCACACGTGGAATCGGCGCGTTGCGACGGTCTTCTCGAGCGAGAAGTGCGAACGCCCCTCCGCCTCGCCCTTGTCCAAGCCACTGCCAACCCCACCCGTCCCCCCTTGGCCAGGTGCGGCGATAGCGGACCATTCGAAGAGGCGGCGCGAACGAATGCCGAGCTGATTCAGTACCCGACGCGATCCGATAGCGCCACGTTCCTGCCGCTTTCGCCTCACATGCGCATGCCCATCACGACGGCGTCCGAGGCGCTCACGGTGCCCGCGTCGAAGCGGCCCTACCTCTTCAACCTTGTTGCCTCCGCCAACACGCACCCGTCGCGCCGCGCCTGGCTCGATACGGCGGTTGGCTGGCTCTCCACGCGCTGTGCCTTTGTGTTTGAGGCTAAGGAGTGGATGCCGCACGAACAGCGCGGCGACCGCTTCGCGTCGACATTCTGGCAGTGCCGCGGCCGTGGACGTGGGGTCGAGGGGCCGGTCGGCATCTCCACCGTCTCTGCCAACCCGATGTCATACTCCGAGTACCGCAAGGTGCTCCTTCGCGCTCTTGCCCATGCACACCCTTAGACTCGGCCCCAAACCCTTTGACCCTGACCCCGAATCTGACTCTTGACCCCGATCTGACCCTGGCCCTGACCCTAGGTGCTCCTCTCGAGCTCGTTCACGCTCTCCCCGCGCGGCAACACGCTCGAGTGCTTCCGCTGGTACGAGGCCGCCGAGGCAGGGTCAATTCCCGTCCTCTCGCGCTCTGACATCGACGCTTCCGTCGCCAAGTGCGACCTCGCCGTCTTCGCGGACGTGCCATTCCTCGTCGTCGACGAGGTCTCGCAGCGCAAGCCCTTGCCCTACGCCAGGTGCAGACCGTTACCCGGCCTCACCTTACGTTAGGTCTCGCAAGCAATCGCCGCAATGGAGGACCTCGCCAGCCGCCCCGCCGAGCTTGATGAGCGCGCGCGTGCCATGCGTTGGTGGTACGATGGCACGATGGCGCGCGTGGCGGCGAACGTGGAGGCGACATTGCAGGCTGTCGCAGCCAACACCCCGCGCGTGCCGAGCTACACCCTCCTCCTCTCCCACTTTGCTCGTGACCCACGCGGCCCCACTTCCACGGCGCGCTACGCCGAGATTGAGGGAGCCATCCGCTCCAATTTGCTCGGGAGGGATTTGGCGGAGGTGTGGGTGCTGTACGAGCAGCGGCCGGGCGACGGCTGTGCGCAGTTCCGCGGACGGATCGAGGCGAACGCGCCGTGGAGGCAACGGCTGCAGGAGCTGGCCACGCTGGGCGGCACGCCCAAGCTCTCATGCATTGATCGGGAGTCCACACAGCTGCGCTATATCGATCTCTTTACGTACGCCTCGCAGCAGCCCGATGGCAACTTCGCTGGCGCGTGATAGTGACGAGAAGTAGCCGAGATGTGTAGCCGAGGTGTATCGGAGTGCAGTCGAGACATGGCCGCCCCGCGGGTGCGCAGCTGCTCAAGCTGTAGCAGCAGCAGCCCACAGGGCAATGCCGGTCCACGATGCTGCGAAAGGCCTCAACCGCCAGCACTCTCCCTCTCCTGCAGGTACGCACGTCATCGTGGCGCACGCCGACCTGGTCTTTGATGAGACGATCCACATGCTCTCGGCCCTCGGCTTCGATGAGGAGCGAGCGTGGGTCCTCACCGTCAACGGTGAGCGCGAGCCGGCCCGTAAGGGATCATGGGCACGTCCAGGACACGTCTCTGGCTTGCCCCCTCAGGCGATCGCGAGCCAGAGAGTGCGGCCGGCGACCCCTCGGCAACGTGGACCCAAAAGCCATCGCGAGACTTCACCGCAGGATTCGCGCAGCCCGTCGCAGCAATGGAGGCAGGCGAGGAGCGCGCGCCGCTTGCGAGCGAAGCGGCATCACGAATACGCAGGCATCGCGGCATTGGCGCCGCCGCTGCGGAGGCGATGGCGGGAAGGCCGTGGAAGGCAGAGGTGGCTGGCGCCGCCGCAGCCACCACAGCAGCAGCAGCACCTCAAGGCGTGCCGGCCAGGAAAGGCAACAGCCACGACCCAGCTGTAGCTCCGGCTGCGGCTACGGCCGCTGTGTCCGCTGCTGCCCCCGCCGCCGTCACCCCCGCCGCTGCCACCGCCGCCTCTATCGCCGCCGAGCGGAGCAGACATATGCAGACAGCGCCCATCGCTAGCGGCGGAGGTGGAGTGACCTGCGCCACGTGCTATAACATCCGTTGGGGGAAGCGCGGAGACTGCAGTTCCGTGCCCGGCTGCAACAGTGAGTTGTGCGACTTTTGCACCAACAGCGCCGCCAGCGTCGCGCCCACTGGCGCTGCCGCCTCTGCGGCGTCGGGTGGAGGGGGCGCGGCGCCGGACGGCGCTGCGGCTGCGCGGTGGCGACGAATGTCTAGCCAGTACACGATGACCACGGGCGGGCTCACCATCCCGCCGCGCAGCCGGGTGGAGCAGCTCTTCAAGAAGCAACGCTGCAGCAGTCCCATCGAGGCACAAGATGTAGTGTAGCCGAGATGTGGAAGGCCCATCGATGCATGCGCGGGTGCAACAAATCCAGCGCCACTCATCGCCCTCGTCTCCCCTTCCCTCAGCCCTGCCCCCACCCTTCAGGTGAGCTGGGACGCATTCGTCTTTCGGCCACCGCTGGCAGTTGCGAAACTACGTGAGTTCAGCCGTTTCTTCGACACTCCGCCCAACCGGGCAGGCGCCGAGGCGCGCGCGCGATGCGGTCTCGAGCGCGCCGGCGTCAGGGTTCACCGTCCGAACACGCGCCGTGTCTACAAAAGGCTTCCCTCTTCACACGCGCTACTGTGAAACAGGTGCGCAACGCGTGCCTGCACGTGCGGGTGCACCACTATCATTATACGCGCGACGCGACGCCGAACTACGACGAGGTGCGCGCATGATGGTTGATTCGGCCCACGAGGCCTTGTGAGCTGAGCCCGCCTCCCCAATGTAGGGGCGCGTCGACCTGACCGACAGCGACGCGCGATGCTACCTCAACACCTCGGCCGCCAACGATCCGGCGGGCTTCTACACGCATCCGTGTGCCGTCTACCACTCGAGCAGGCGAGTCACGCAGCGAGCCACCACCCTGAGCCACCACCCTGCCTCAATGCCCCATCGCCGGTGACTCTCGGCCATGCCATGCCAGGGCAAACGGACTGCCGTTCGTCGTCGACACGGGCTTCTGCGAGCGTGACGGAGAGTATTGCGCGCAGCTGAGCACCATCGACCGGTATAGCGAGGCGGGCGCGCGCTGCTTATACCGCGGGATGTCGAATGGGGTCGGTGGCGTGCGCAACCACAGGCCGACCAGAAGCCTTCATGGACCATGACTCTGGGATTGACCTCTTTCTTTGATGGTCATATCATAGCACTGTGTACAATGAACAATGTGTATGTGAGTCGCACAAGAGATGCCACACTGGTCCCTCCATTAAAAACAGTCAGGCTCCCCACACGAAAACGCACAATCGACTGTTGCGTGTTGGCATGCGGCAACTTAAGGCGACGGAGAGGATCGGGGGATGACAGAGATCAGAGTGGAGTGGCTTCAAGGCTTCCACACTAGTAGTCCTCTAGGTAGTCCTCCTTCCCTCCTCTACGGCGCCCGCGTCGCCCGGTTCCTCCAAGCTGCAGAACGGCTGCGTCCCCGGCGCGTCGTCCGCGTTGGCCGCCCGCGGCGGCGTACGCTCCACCATCTCCGCCGCCGCGGCCGGCCGCTCGTGATCGAGCCAGCTCGAGGTGAGAAGCGCGGTGGTGAGGGGCGGCAGGTAGACCTGCCCAATCTCGTCCAGCCGCGCCCAGACCGTGTCGCCGTCATCGGCCGCGACCTCAGCAGCGGCGGGCGGCGGCGCGGCCGCCAGCCGCAGCTCGGCGCGCGCCGGCGTGGTGCACGGGGGCACGGCGCGCGTGGCCGTCCCGCGCGCCATGATGTGCGGGATGTGCTGCCGCGAGAGCTGCCCGCCCACCACAGGGCTCGGGCGCGACAAGCAGCGCGGCCGACCGTCCGGTCGGCCCGGGTCCCGTCCCTCGGGCGGCGCGCCCGCGCCCCCCCCCTCCGGCTCCGGCTCCGGCCTGGCGATGGCGACCGAAATGCGCCACAGCACGATGCCGCCTACAGGAAGGCAACGGAACCGGTCAGATGGGCCCATTTGGTCAGATGCGCCGTGGCACGCCGCCACCGAGGAGGAGGAGCGCGAGGTAGAGGAGGGAGGTCGGGTCGGCGCCCGCCTGCGCGGAGGAGGAGAGGAGAGGTCTGCCTGCCGCCCCTCCCCGGCTTCACTAGTCACGCAGTGGCTCGTGTCACTGGCTCGTATCACTGGCTCGGTATCACAGGCTCGGCCGCCTGCTTGGAGTAGAAGAAGAGGGCGTAGAAGATGTGCAGGCAGCAGGCGATCGGGAGGATGTAGAGCACCGACGTGGTGACGGCGAGGTCGGACGTGCGCGGCGGCGGCTTGAGCACGCGGAGCAGGTTATATCTAGGGCGAGGGCGAGGGCGAGCGCGAGGGTGAGGGTGAGCGGCGGCTTGAGCGCGCGGATCGGAGCTGCACCGGTCGACGGCGTAGTTGAGGCCGAGGAAGAGGGCGGCGAAGGGGAGGAGGAGCGGCAGGGCGGGCGAGAAGGCCATCGCGAGCAGTGCCACCTTGAGCACGAGATTGTACCGGAAGGGGAGGTACAGCTCGGCGTCGAGGCTGTACGCCGCGTTCATCTCGGCCTGCGTGCGCGCCAGCCGCGCGACGACGTGCCTGCTCGCGAGCTTGTCGCTAGGGGGTGTCTAGGAGGTGTCTAGGAGGTGTCTAGGAGGTGTCTAGGACGTGCCTGCTCGCGAGCTTGTCGGGCCCGCCGTGCATGCCGAGCTCCACGAGGAGCAGGATGGCAAACAAGTCGCCGAGCAGCGCGTTGAGCAGCGCCACGGCGCCCGAGGTGTACCAGTGCAGCACGCACGTCAGCCGCGGCTTGCCCGCGCTCCAGCCGGTCCCGTCGGCGCAGGAGAGGCCGGGGGGGAGGGCCTTCTCGGCGGGGAGGGGGCAGTGCGGGCCCGACGGCTCCGCAGTGGGCCAGAGGACGAAGAAGAAGGTCGAGGCGGCGGCGATGGTGTTGAAGCACTGGAAGAAGCACATCTTGAGCAGCATGTGTACCTAGCCGAGAAGCGCCGAGCTGAGCCGAGGTGCCGGCGCGCGCGTCTCGACGCATCACGCGCACGTGTTGCGACGAGCGGTGATGGTGCCGGTCGAAGCGGAGGGAGAGCACGGGCGTGAGGGCAAAGATGACCACGTTGGAGGCGATGATGAGCGTCGTCGTCCACAGCGTGGTGAGCACGCCTGTGGACCCACACGGGCTGGCTTGGATGAGGCGCTCAGACTCACCGGCGTGACCTCCACGCCGCGGCGGGCACGCCCGCTGAGTGGTAGACGGCGTACGTGTTTGCGAGCACAATCAGGCTGGTCGAGCCGAGGGAGAGAGCGAGCAGCAGCAGGCTCGTCCGCAGCCTCCACGAGAGCGCCTGCAGCAGCCGGCGCCAGCCCTCACACACCACTCCGCCACACGGCCCGCCACGCCTCCCTCCCGGAGCGACGGCGACGGCGCCTGCGCCCCCGTCGCGCCGAGGTTCTCCCAAATGACGTCCGACGGCTCGGGCGCCCGCCTCACCTCGAGCTTGGCTGCGCCGCGCCAGTACGCCATCCGGAAGTCCACCGCAACCTACGCACGCCGAGCGTGGGGTGTGGGCGATGCTCCTCGCAGCAGCGCGCCGGACGCCGATCGCCGAGCCTCGCCACTCGCGAGGCCGTGCTGGCGAGCGTGCCTGCGGACCGGCCGGGTGGCGGAGGGAGGGCCAAAGGGAGGGGATAAGGGATGGCCGGAAGGATGGCTCAAGGGATGGCCGAAGGATGGCTGAAAAGACTGCCGACGCGTGGTGTGGCGTGCCGGAGCACCCCGCCTAAAGAACCCGGCCACCGTGGCCACATCTCGGCGATCTCTCGGCGACACCCTCGCCTTCGGATCCGGCCAAAGTGGCGCGCGCATCGGGCTGCGGAGGCGGCGTGCACGAAGGTGACGAAGGCGTGGCCTGTGCACGAGGCGGGCGCCGCCGCCGCCGCGCGGAGCCGCACGCCGCACGTGAGCATCTTGCGGAGCAGCCGCTCGAGCCGCTGCAGGATGGCGCGCCTGATGCGTGAAGCCGGGCTCTCTGTGCAGCCGCTGCCTCTGCCTCGACCCGGCGCGGGAAGGCGCGCCTCTGGTGCCGCGCCGCGGCGGCCTCCATCGAGCGGAGCAGTGTGTGCGGCTCCGCGAGGGAGAGAGCGGCGGCGTTGCGCGCGAACTCCTCGTGCGTGCGGCGCCACTCGCGCCTGCGGCAGAGCCGCCGGAAGGCTCAGGGAAGCACTCGCCGACTGCTCGTGTTTTGGCGTGCGTCCACTCGCGCCGCAGCCGCTGCAGCTCGAGCAGCGCGGCGACGTACCGCTGGTTGTTGCTCGAGATTGCGACCGACGCGACCTCGCCTAGTAGACCCGTCCGACGGGATGCGATGCGCGAGTCTCCGGCGGCGCGCGGAACCCTTCGCACGGGAGCGGCGCCGAAGAACGCGAAGTGCGCGCGCAGGCCGCGCGGCGAGACACCGCTGGCGGGCAGGCCGGACACGGTGACGGCGTAGTCGGACGCGCGCGCCCCCGCGGCCGCCTCGCCCTCGATGCGGGCGAGCGCGGCGCGGTGGCGGCGGTAGAGGTGGTACGTGTAGAGGCAAAAGAAGGAGGAGAGGGCCAGCTCGCCCCACAAGTGCGCCTCGCCGACCCACCGGCCGCCGCCCTCGCCGCCGCCGCCCTCGCCGCCGCCGCCCTCGCCGCCCTCACCGCCGAGGTCGGCGTCGAGGTTGGCGTTGCCGAGCATGCTCGCGTACAGCAGCCACGCCAGAGGCGCCGTCACGCGAGCGATGAGCTGCGCCAGCTGGCCGCTCTGCGCGGCGGTGGCGTAGGCGCTCGCGCAGCGGCCCGCGGCCGCGAAGGGCCACGCCAGGCCGAGCCGGCTGCCGGAGAAGTTTGCGGCAAACTGCGGCGCTGCGAGAACCGTCGCGATGGCAAACATCTGGCACGTCAGCCGCACGAACTGCATGTAGGTTGCGACGCCGGCGCCCACATGGCCCGCGAACCGCGACTCGGCGCACCGGAGCGGGAGGAGGTCGCCGTCCTCGCCCTTGGGAAGCAGGAAGCGGACGTACTCTCGTGCGAGCTGCAGGCGCGGTGGCGGCGGCGGCTCTGCGCCTTCCGCTCGGGCACGCTCCAGCCTGGCCGCAGCAATCACGTGCACTATGGTGTGGCGGAGCCGCTCGCGCGCACGGCGAGCACGGCGCGAGGAGAGCGGAGGCGAGCGAGGGAGCAGGGCAGACGGCAGGTTGTTCGACTCCGTCATTTCGAGCGAGTAGAGATTGTGTTTTTTTCTCTCGAGGTCTCTTGGAGTAGGGCTTACCCCCCTTCCTTCGAGACCCGCGAGGGAGCAGAGCCCCAATGGAGAGGGTACCCTGGTTTGGCGGGGCCTCGACTCGCCAGAATTTCTTTAATGCAAAAAGAAAAACAAAAGCGCCCCGCCCTCCAGCCTTTGACGTTCGCGCGGATTTCGTGAACTTCGAACTCGAACGAACGCAGCCGGCGGGGCCCAGCCCGAACCTCGAGACTGAACGGACCGCGCCGGCTGCGGAAGGCGCGAAGTGCGGAAACGAACGAACGTTCGTGAACTCCGTTCGAACTTAGGAAAAAGGAAACCCGAACGGGTAAAAGTCCGTTCGTTCGGCGTGCAGTTCAGCCACGAGCCGCGCTGAACGAACGAACTCGCGCAACTGCGCCACGTGCGCACGTGCGGACGCGGTCTGGCCCTCAATCTCAGGTGCCCATATACACCACAGTTCTGATGGTCCGCGACACGTCTGCAATCTAGCGGACTACGGCGCGACTACCGGTGCCGGTGCGCTGTGAGCAGGGCCGCCCTGTGGTGCCTGGGCGCCGTGCGTGCTGACTGGCGAGTAGAATGGGGGAGACGGGGGCTCCCCGAGGCGTCCAGGCGTACTAGGCCTCTACTTAGGCGACCAGGGACTATACAGGCCTGCATAGCCAAAAATAAATATTGCGGTTCGTTCGTGGTTCGTTCGCAGTTCACAGACGAACTTCCCTGGTTTCCTCGCCCTGCGGGTGTGAAGCGGGTCGGGGGGGAGGAGAAAAGAAAAGGCTGAGTTCACGAACTAGTTCGAGGGTTCGGGCACCCAAGGGCAAACGACCGAACCGATGCAGCGGACCAAGGGGATGCGTCCAGAGCGAACTCCGAAACCGAACGAACCGCGAGTTCACCGAACCAGTTCATGAACCAGTTCGCCAGTTCGCCCGTTCAACGTCAAAGGCTGGGCGGCCCAGGTAGGTACATTGGATTCCAAAATCCTAAAGAAAAGAAAGAATTTAAACACGACACCACTCTCTCACAGCGGACAGGCTCGACACAGGTGCGAACTGGCGCGTGCTAGCACAATCACAGGCACACCACCGGAGCCGCCTAAGCGACTCCGCTAAGAACGGCGATGCACTTAGCTCCGTGCACAAAGAAAACAGACAACCCAAGGGAGGGATGGGAGGACGGCACGCCGCCACCACACAGGGATTTTAAGGAGAGGGGTGTGATGCGCTAGCCGTCGCCCACCCTTGGGCGTCCGCCTCTTCCTATCCCTCTTCGCAGTCTCTCGCCGATTCTCGCTGCAACCTTCGTGCCACCTCGCGGTCGTCCCACTCTCTTCGTTCTCTCTCTTGTCGCTTCTTCCTCTGTCGCGTCGCTCCCCTCTGCCTCGTTCTGCGACGGCGCCGCCGCCTGCCGATCCCTTGCTCTCGCTTCTTCTCTCGCCTTTCGTCGCAGCTCTGCCCTCCTCGCGGCATATTTTGGCCCCTCGAGTTTATCGAGCTCTCCTCGCGCAAGGACGACTCTTCTGACGCCCACTGTGCGATCATTTGCCGCCAAGTCATATCGTTGCTCAGGTCCACTCTCTCTTCGAACACTTGTACCTCCACAGATGACGCTGGCGCTGGGGTCCCCTTCGGGTGCATCGTTACAGCTGACGACGGGATTACCACAGGTGTGTCGCCCTCCTCTGGTTCGTCTTCCTGGCTTCCTCCCGTTCGGCTCTACGTTCAGTACGTTCAGCGTGGCTCACCCTCCATGCGGTGAACAGGCGCTTTATTCACCCTATTCTTCTCTCGCTCCTCTGCCCGTGCCTTGTGCCCTTGGTCTTGTCGTTGTTTCGCACCCATTGTCTGTATGGCGATCGAGGCTGCCTTCCCCACTACCTGTAGTTCACTCGTCACCTCTCCTGCGTCTTCGACTCTTGCTGTCGCCCTCGCCGTGTGTTTGTCAGCTTCCGCATGAAGTAACGCGCCTCTTGAGCACTTGAGCACCGGATAGGGTCGATCAGTGTCGTCCCCCCTCTCCCCGACGGCGATGGCGGTGTGACCGATCGAGCTACAAGACGAGCTTGTTCAGCATGATCAGGGTGAGCCGAGCAGTTCTCACTTCCTCAATGGGTGAGCTTCAGTCCTCAGGCAAACCTACCCCCTCACCTTCGGCTCGTGTGGATTCGAACCACCGCCGGGATGGAAGCTTCCTGCTTCCATCTTGAGAGACAGCGCCGCCCATCACCTGTATCAGAGCATCGGGGGTCGTATGGAGCTGTGTGTGCTTCCGTTGTGTGAGGGGGGGGCAGGGGGGGGGGGGGGCTTCTTTATTTCTAGCGCATTTGCCGCTCAGTAGGTGCGAAGAAGCCCGACCGCGTCGAACTCATCGGCGCGGGCTCTCTCGCGTCTCGGCTACGGGACCGGCCCCAGCTTCGGCTGAGGGCTAACAAGCTGCCGAGCCCAAGTCTCTGTGAGAGTCGTGATTTCTTGTTGGTCTTCAAAAATCCCCCTAGGTGCGCCAACGACGCCTGGGTGGTGGCTCACTGTCTTCTTGTGTCCAATCGTCCCAGTCTCTCCGTTCCCCGATTCTCCTCCTTGCCTCGCGCGCCTCTTTTGCGGCCTTATCCCTGGGCGCCTTGCACGCTCTGCATCCCCAAAACGCACTCCTCGTGGCGGGGCCCCTTCATTCCCCGTTTTTCCTTTCCCCTTCTAGAATGCGCCTGTGGTGTGCCCCGTGTGGCACCCCGACCTGTTGTCTCACCCTGGCTGGCTCCCAAGATCGTTTTGGTCGTCACATCTCCTACCTACTCGAGTACGTCGTCAAATGTCGCTCGTTGGCCTGCACAAGCTTTTCCGGCAAACAAAAAGGAAAACAGAGGGTCCCCAGCACTTTGCGTTTCCGGAAATTTCCAGGGAAAACAGAGGGTGTTTGGTGCTCCATTCTGGAAACTCGCGAGTTTCCCTGAGTCTGAGAGCTGGCCTGGGCAAAATCTGACGCAAAATTGAGGAAATCGGCACGATACCCAGGCGGTCGCAGGGTATTTTCCAGGTATACCCGGGGTTTTCCAGGCATACCCGCAAAATACCCGGTATTTTGCCGATTTGGCTGATTTTGGGCCCAAACTAGCCTCAGACTCGGCTCAGAGCCCGGAAAATTTGATGGTTTCCCCGGCGCCCGGGAAAATAGAGAGGAAAAGAGAGGGTGCTGTAGAGAAAAAAGGAAAGGAAAAGAGACGGGGTGCGAGAGGAAAAGCTTGTTCAGCCTAAGTCGCTCGCCTGTCCTTCCTTCCCCCCGTTCTCATCTGGCAATCTCATCTTTTTGTCCCATGGGTGTTTGAGGCTGGCTACGGCCACTTCGCTCCACAGCCGTCCCGCCACCCCTTCCAAAAAGAAAAAGAAAGGATCCGGACAACCAAGGGAGGCCCCTTCCAAAACGGCGGCGTTTTCTTTCTTCTTTCCTTTGTACCGAGCGGCTGTGATTTCGATCACATTACAGTATGAGCGCGCAAAGGCTGAAAGAAGAATTGCGCCGCGGAAATTTGCGCTCCGAGAGTGGCTCCGACAAGGGAACGACAGGCAGTCGCGGTGGGACTTTCGCACCTCTGTTTCTTTTTGCGAGGGCGGTGCTCCACTTTTGCGTTTTCGCAGTGGCCATGCACCGGCGACCGCGGTGCAAGAACACTCTCGTCTCGAGCAGCGTCCGTCTCGCCGCCGCCGCCTGTTTGCCGCCTCGCCGCGCCGCGCGAGCGAGAATGAGTGCTCGCAACCCCTGCCTGCCTAGACGAGTACAGCTAAAGGTACCCGGCTCCCCATGCGTGCGGCAGCCCCCGTCCAAACGAAAGAGCGGCAGTGTGCTGACACTTGTGCTGGCCTGCTACTCTCATGGCGCACGAATCCGAGAGCAGCCTCGGGTACGCCTCCTGGCCCGTCGGCGCGGCCCAGGCCGCGGAGAGCGTGTGCATTGACCCGGCGTCGGCGGGCTGCTCATCTGATGACTGGGTCGAGGTGCCAGACGAGGACGACGACCCTCGGTTCGACTCCTTCGGCTTCCGCTCCTTCGAGGCCCCCGCACCGCCACGCCCCGAGGCCTCCTCCCCCGGCAAGGGCGGCTGGGCCCGCTGGAGCGCGCGGCAGCTCAGCCGGCGGCCGCTCGAGCTGAAGCGCTTGGTGCGGCGAGGGGTGCCTGCGGCACGGCGCTCGGAGGTGTGGCCCTTCCTCGCCCGCATCGATACGCTCCGCTGTGTCGAGGCGGGCGACTACTATGCCGTCCTGCGGGACGCGTGGGGCGGCGCTGGGGCTGCGCGCGCCGCCGCCGACCTCGGCGTGGCGAGGCAGATCGAGCTGGACGTGTCGCGGACCTTTCCGGGCCACCGCGTATTCGGAGGGGCGGCGGGGCGGCAGCGCCTGCGCTCGGTCCTCCTCGCTTACTCCCGCCGCAACCCCGAGGTTGGCTACGTCCAGGGGATGGGCTTTCTCGCGGCGGTGCCTTGCTGTCCCGCCGCCTGCCCCGCCCCAACCCTCCCGCCTCCCCCCCCCCCCCCCCCTTCCCCGCAGGACTGCCTCCTCTGCGAGGGAGTCAAGGGGCTGCAACGAGTCGACCTCGCCCTCCTCCAAATCTCGGAGGCGCCTGCTCTGCCCGCGCCGCCACCTGCCCGCGCCGCCACGCCACTCCACCCCCCCACACACTCTCGTCGCGTGTCGCGGAGGTGTCGCGGACGTGTCGCGTGACGCGTCCGGTAGGCGCGGCTGCTCTGCTGCACCGAGCAGCACGCGCTGCTGCTCGTGCTGCAGGAGGAGGAGGGCCGATGCCACGACATCGGCACGCGACTCGCCGAGATCCGCCGAGATTCTCGCCGCGCTGCCGCGACCGCTCTCGTCTCGTCCCTTCTCCCTCCCGACACTCCCTCCCACACTCCCACACTCCCTCCCACACTCCCTCCCACACTCCCTCCCACACTCCCTCCCACACTCCCTCCGGTGCCGCTCCCAGGCCGCCTCTTCGCGCTCGCCTTCGACACGCGCCTCTTCATCGGCCCCTTCCCGCGCTCCCTCCTCTCCGAGCTGCGCACGCATCACCTCGCCGCCCTCGCCTCGGGCGCCGCGCCGCCCGCGCCGGGCGAGCCGCGTGGAGAGGACGCCGACGTGTCCGCGGCGCGCCCATGACACGACCGCGACACGCCCCCCGCTAGGCGAGCCGCACGACGACGGCGACGCGGAGCCGCTCACGCTCGCGCCGCCGGGGGCGTGCCGGCCGGGCGCGGCGACCAACAGCGGGCTTGGCGAGAGCTCGAGCGACGAGGCGGAGGAGCGGCGGCCGGACCCCTTTGAGATGCTCTCTCTCGACGACGTGGCCGCACCGCCGCGCCGGCAGTAGGGAGAGGGCCGACCGGAGGGGTCGCGGAAGGGGGGGTCGACTTCGAGCGGGGTGGCGAAGAGTGGAGTGGTTGTGGGCGGATTTGGTCGGTGCGTTTCTGGTGCGTTTGCGTGCATCGTCCCCATTCGCTCGTGCGGTGGTCGAAGCGCTTTTTCTGGGTGAGTGGCATGTTCATGTATCTTGTATGCGTGTCCTCGGGTGGGTGTGCAGTGCGGTCCTGTGTGTTCAGAGCTGTCGCAAGCGCGTGGCACGCGTTGGTGCGCGCGCCGCGACCCGCGTGCCTTCCCCGCGTGCCGCGCAACCCGCAACCGCGCGGCGAGTGTGATGTGTGTGCTGTGTGTACAATGAATATTTTTCTTCTTTGGTTTTCCTTACCTACCGCGGGAGGAGATACCCCGCCATATCCGCCGTGGCTTTAACGCGTTATGTGCCCCGCGCGCAGCGCGCGCGCTGCACCTGAGACCTGTGAGCACTTCTGTGAGCAGGCGCAGCGCCACAGGTGACACGTCTCGCGCTACTGTATCACTCGCGAGAGTCCGCCCCGTGTGCGGTGTGGCGCCTCCGTCCCCGCGCTTGTACTCTACCGCGATCACACACCCAACTCTCCCAGGCCGTCTGTACTGCCGAGCGCAGCATCCTTCCTCGCCGAGCAGGTTGCAGGGTCTACGTCGAGTGACGAGCAGGCTTGCCTCGCGCTGCACAGCCGTCGCTCCGACCTAGCCCCAATTCTTGCGTGCGCCACCGCTGGCAGGCGACGGCGAGAAGAGCGAGCCCCTCTCCCCGTCCCCCTCCAGCAGCGGAGGGAATTGCGGGAGGCTCGGGTTGGAGCCGGTGGCAGCGAGGCTGTGCCGCCTGGAGGAGACTTCACTCAGCCGGTGCGGTAGGCTCACAGGATCCAGCCCAAGGCTGAGGCGCCTGGAGGGCCCGGCATCACTCAGGCGCTTTGGCAGCTGTGTCATCTGACCTCTCGAAGCGCGGCGGAGCATGTCCACCCCCTCCTCGTTCGAGTGCCGCTTTGCGATGAACCCAAAGGAGCCGTCGGTGCTCGTGCTCCATCGGTGCGACGACCCACCCGACGCCCGTTCTGGATCGGACCGGCGTGAGCGGGAGGAGACGTCGGACACGTCCAGCGCGATCTGCATGTCGAGCGAGAGCCCTTGAGAGAGGGCTGCATCCAGAGACATGTCCAGCGTCGGTGCGCTCGGCGGCTGGTGCAGAGCCGAGCTGGCTGTCGGGATGGGCGGAGCGCTTCCGCTCGCGGCGGCCCCGACCGTGCCACCGGCGATCCCAGCGATACTGGTCCTCTTGTTGTTGATGCTCTGTCTCTTCTGCGAGATGGACTGCCGCCGCCGCTCCTTCATGATGTCATCGCCGCCGCGCGCGAGGATGAGTGCGAGCATTTCCGGCTCATTGGTCTCGCAGGCGAGGTGCAGCGGCGTCATCTTGTAGATGTCGGGAACGCCGAGCTCGTGGCACGGCTGTGTGCGGGAGAGCACTTCGGCTGCGTCCACGTGCCCATTGGCGACTGCAACATGCAGCGCTGTCTGCCCATCCTCGTCGACCTCAGAGAGCGGCGCGCCGGCCTCGACGAGCAGCTCGAGGATCTCGACCTGGTCCTCCTCAGCCGCAACGTGCAACAGCCCCGGTAATGGGCTGCCGCTCGCCAGGGCTTCTCGTACCCCTCCAACGTCGCCGTCGCGGACGAGCGCAGCGGCTGACATTGCGCCCGCGGCCGGCCCGCCCTGTTTTCGATTTTACTTCGGGGGCACCTCGAGGGCGTTGTGAATCTTTGTGAGCTGTGAGCTGTGAGGATCGGCCCGCAATCTGCCTGGGAAGCCTGCCTGCCTGCCTGGGAAGCCTCGTTCGTGTGACGGGTCGTGGCGTGGTTGTCGAGGGGCCGTGTGGCGAGGCTCCACAGCCCATCTCAGCCCCCGCCGCCCGAGCGCCCCCGCAGAGGACCACCACTCTACACACGCAACACGCTGCCTCAAACGCGTCTTCGTCGCACACGCGGTAGGTAGGTGTCATGTCTCATGACTCATGTCTTATTTTTATCCCTCACAACACACACACGTATCACGTTAATATCGCTCTGCTCGGCCTGGGCGCGTGTTGCTCCCTACACCCTAGATCAGAGGGGTCGGTGGTTCTCGGTTCTCGCTGCCGTCCACAGAGCAGAGTCTGCGTTCGTGGCAGGGCCCACAGGGGTCAGGGCGGGAGCGAGGCGAGCGCGGCGGAGCGGGCAAGAGCCAAGACCTAGGCCAAGAAGAGAACACTTCCCAAGAGGGGCGCACAAGCGGGCTGGGGCGCCCAGTCGGCGGCCGCCCGTCGAGCGGGTCGAGCGTCGTATCACTCGTTTTGTGATCATGCACCCCCCCCAGCGACGAAACTAGTGGACACATAACGCTCAGGCAACTAGTGTTTCAAGTAAGCGCACGACTCGACTGTATAATCAGCCCATGTTTTTATTCTCGCGAGGTGTCCTGCTGCGGCGTCGGGGGCTGCGGGGGCTGCGGCATCTGGATTCGCACGGTGAACTGGCATGCGCTCACGTCCGTCATCTCGACTCCCACCGAGGAGGAGACGCCAAGGCCGCACAGCGCGCCTCGGATGAGGCCGCACGGAAACTTGCCGTATGTCGCGCCCATCTGCTTGGCCGTCGACTGCCGCTCGGCCGCCGGCGAGCACCGCACGAGCAGCCGGTGCCTGTTGTCCTGGAGCATGTAGACCCCCTGCAAGCGTGGGCACAGACAGCGGCGCGCGTGGTCGTGCAGTGCCGGACGAGACGCGGCCGCGGGGCAGGCGCAGCGCGCACGCACCCGGTTGTTGGTCTGCAGCTTGTCAATCTGCTTGCCGTAAATCTCGTACCAAAAGTCCTTGCAGATGAACTTGATGATTTCTAGCGTGTCGGCGAAGCGCGGCCGGTCCTTTGTGTAACGCTCCGCGAGCCGTTCGCCCACCTGGTACCCGATCACCTCGAGCCGGCGGCCGGCGTGCTGCAGCTCCTCCGCTGTCGGGGTCGGGCTGAGCAGCGTGTTGACCACCTCCATGTGCAGGAACGAGAAGCACGACTCGGCGACCTTGGACATGTCGGGCTGGCGTGGTAGCAGGCCCACCAAATACACCAAAGCCGGGCGGCGTGAGGGTTTTTCAGTGTACGTACGTTTAGCTTACTGGGAGAAAAGTCTCTCTCTGTCTCAGTGTATGTAGCTCTTACGTACATTCCCAGTAAGCTATAAGTACGTACGTACATTCCCGTAGGAGACTCTGCTGACAGGGTTTGCGATGAGGAGCGACCCGAAGGGTTTCTCGGAGGTTTTTGGAATTTTTTTTCGTCTGAATTGCGGGAAACTGCCATGGCTCCTACAACGACATCGAAGACACGGGCGCCGAGGCGCGTGCCTGCCTGGTTGAGATGCTGGTGGCCCGAGCCGCCGCTCAGCGAGGAGCGCGCGATGCTGGAGATCGCTCTCCTGAGGGAAGAGCTTCGCGCCGTCGAGCGAGCATGGAGCGAGTGCTCGACTCGAGCACCAGAAGTCGTGCAACGCGATATTCCCCGCCCGATATCCCCGAGCGGCCGAGCGGCCAAATCAGCACCGCCGCTGCCGTCCAGTCGCCTCGCACCCGTGAGTGCCAGCACGCGGCGCCTGGCGGAAGCGGTGAGGCGCAGCGAAGCTGCCGTCAACGACGCGGCGCCGGCGGCGGAGTCGAGACTGCGCAGCAAGGAGGCAGCATCGAGACTGCGCAGCAAGGAGGCAGAGGAAAGCTGCGCCGATGACGGGCCGCGCACTCCAGCCAACCCGTTCCAGAGTCGACTGAAGATCCACCGCTCGCCGCTTGGGGCGGTGCCGAGCTAGCCGATAGGAAAACGGCCTCTCGCACCGTTTTAAAGCTCGTCAAAAAGGCGTTTTCTGCGCGTTTAAGTGGGTTAATACACGGTTACATTGGCATGAAGAAAACAGATTCGGCATGCCGCTGTTTCTAAGACGGCGGCGGGCAGTGAGAGGAGGTCGTCTCGTCTCATGCGGTTAGCGAGGGTGCGGTGCGTCCTAATCTAAAATCCGAGGATTAAGGATTCAGGCATCGCTTCAGTGAGGCCAAAGTGAGTTTATGGATGTGTGAGAACGGTACGGGACACGAGGAGGCACGCGGACCAACTCGTCGGCGACTCTGCTGCACGCCGTTTCAGATTTTTTCTCAGCGTGAGCGAGACGTGGAAGAGTGCCACCGTCGGGTAGGACGGGTCGGCCCGGAGCATCAGAGTAGCCGTCGTGGTCGCGGCGAGCAGCGCCGGCCACTCCGGCGCCGCGTCGGCACCATGGGAGCATGTCCACCGCCACTTCGCGGTCGCAGCGCTGTTTGTCGCCCAAAACGCCGCTGATCCCTCTGGCGGGCCAAAGATGACTCGCATGTCGATTTCGACGCGACGGGCGCATGGAGGCATCACGTCTCCATGCGCCCGTCAAGTCGGAGCCAGTCTGCGGCGACCACAGCGCTCACCGCGGGATCGGCGAGCTTTTCAGAGTCGAGCGATTGCGCGAAATCACACTCTGTGGATTTAGTACGGACCGTATCATGGTCACTGTCTCTCTCGATCCTGAGCCTGGCGGCCCACGACTGGGCAGTGGGCACTGACCAACTGTCGGCCATCGTGCATCGAGCTCAAATTCCGATTTCCGTCACGTCACGTCACGACTCGGTCGTGGTTGGTCGCGTGCACTTCTCGTATCTCGAGGTGCACACATCAAAACCGGACCTGAACCGCAATCCGGACCCGGCCACGCGCCACCGCCCCGCACGCCGCGTGCGCTCGTGGTCTCTGGTCACGCGAGATGTTTTGTTTTGTCACGCGTGGGTCTAGACGGCGATTCCGGCAACGGCACGTGAGACTTCGGCGAGCGCGTGAGCGAGAGACGGCGACGGCCCGACGGCGACGCCGGGGCCCGTTTGCGCTTTCGCCAACGCGCGTCAGAGTCGAGAGTGCGCGCTGCCGTCAGGACAGCCCACCTCACGTCCCCGTAATGCGCTGCTTTTGGCGGCCTCGCCGAGAGTGGTGTGCGCGCCTTCACGACACCATGGAGCCTGGGTTAGGCCTTGGACCTTGGTAACTGGTGTTCTCTGCTCTGAGCACTGAGGGAGGGTGTTGGGGATGTAGAGGCTAGAGCGTAGAGCGCTGGAGAGCTGTAGCTGAAGCTGTATGCTCTAGTCTACGCTACATCCAGCAGCGGGAGGACCGCGTGCGCCGGTGCGCTTCGTGTGTACACCCAACGCGGCCAAAGGATATCCACCTCGAGAACCTCGAGAGAACACACACACACACACACACACACAAGAAGAGAACACACACACACACACACACACACACACACACACACACACACACACACACACACACACACACACACACAGCGCTTCAACTCTTGTATGCGCGCGGCGGCTTCTTTTTTCATGGTGTTAGTGCCAGTGCGCGCCAGAGAGATTTTTGAAAACCAAGAAAAATCACGACTCTCACAGTAAAAGAAAGAAAGAAAGAAAACACACAACCCAAGGGAGGGATGGGAGGGCGGCACGCCGCCACCACACAGGGATTTTAAGGAGAGGAGACGATCGAGGGGGGTCCCGTACCATGCGGAATCGACCCTATCAAGTGCTCAAGTGCTCAAGAGGAGTGTGGTGCTAGCCGTCGCCCACCCCAACCCTTGGTCGTCTGCCTCTTTCTATCTCCCTTCGCAGTCCCTCGCCGATTCTCGCTGCAACCTTATGCCACCTCGCGGTCGTCCCACTCTCTTCGTTCTCTCTCTTGTCGCTTCTTCCTCTGTCGCGTCGCTCTCGTCTACCTCGTAACGTCCTGCGACGCCGCCGCCGCCTGCCTGATCCCTTGCTCTCGCGGCTTCTCCCGCCTTTCGGCGCAACTCTGGACTCTGCTCACAGTGATTTGGGCTCGGCAGCTTGTCAGCTTTCTTCGCGCCAGTCCCGGGCCCAAAAAGAAAGAAAGAAAGTACAGATGGGAGGGATGGGAGGACGGCACACCGCCACCCCTACGGATTTTAAGGAGAGGGGTGTGATGCGCTAGGCGTCGGCAACGGCAATAGTCTTTTTCATGCGGAATTTTCCAGCCGGGATGCGAGCTCTGTGCTTTGTGTGCCTGGTGGCCGCGGCCGCGGCCGCGATGCGGCCAGCTGTCGTGACTATCGCCCGGCCGGCGCTGCCGCGCGCGGCGGCGCCGCTGCTTCAGCAGGGACCGATGGAGGACGGCTTCCGGGAGCTGATGCCAATGGCGACGGATGAGGGCAACATCGACCCGGAGATCGTGGAGCGGATGGACGCCGAGGTGCGGGCGCTGACGGGCGTGGCGCTGGAGGACCTGCTCAACCCATCCAAGGTGGTCAACCTCGAGCGCGAGCGCATCCTCACTGAGGCTGAGCTCGGCGCGGCAGCAGACGGCGCGGAGAGGGCCGAGCTGCAGGAGAAACTCGATAAGATCGAGACGCGGCTGGCTGCGGAGAAGCGGACGGTGTTCCGCGGCTGGCTCAAGAACCTCTTCATCGGCCAGTCTCTCCTCGCGATCGCCATCTCGGGCCTGATGGTCTACGACGCCATCCCGGGCGTGCAGCTGGACCTCTCTCTGCGGGCACTCGGCTTCTGGCGCGAGGGCCCCTCTCCCGCGGCAGGCGGCGCCGCGCCGCGCACGAACCCGCCCCTCCCGCCCCTCCCGCGCCGGCGCAGGTCTTACTGGCTCTTTGTCATCCCCTCGCTCCGCGCCCGCCGCCCCCGCGGCTGGGAAAAGTGAGGCTGCCGGCTCCGCCCGAGAGGAGGAGGGAGGAGCCTCGGGAGGGAGTGGCCTGGGCAGGGAGGGTGGCTCGGCAGGGAGGGGCAGTGCCGGCCGAGAGCCCCGAACTGAGACCGCTCGCCGCGGCCCTGGCCTCGACCGCTCCCTCTCTCGCTCCCTCAGGCGCGCCCTCAACCTCGCCTTCCTCGGCTCCCCGCTCCTCACGCTCGGGATGCCATTCCTGACCAAGGAAGGGGCCGCTCGTCCGGCGCGCACAACGGGCCGCGACACCCCCCCTCACACCCCCTCCCCGCGAGCAGGAGCCCTCCCTCATCTGGTGCGCCAACCTCGCACTGCTCCTCGGTGCGGCACCCTCGCGCCCTTGCGCCCTCGCCACCCTCGCACCTCGCACCCTCGCACCCTCGCACCCTCGCACCCTCGCACCCTCGCACCCTCGCACCCTCGCACCCTCGCACCTTCGCACCGTCGCCCCCTCCCCTTAGGCCACCCCCCTCCCTCGCCGCAGGCTGCTACGCCTACGGCCTCGCCGCGGGAGACGGCGACGGCGAGGTCGACAGCTTCAGCGGCCCGCTGCGCTGGCTCGACTTCGGCTCGGGGCAGGAGCGTGGCGTGCGCGGCGCGGCGCGAGAGAGGCTGCTCGCGAGGGACGAGGTGGCGAGCCGCAAAGCGGCGGAGCCCGCGGCCGGGGTGGGCTCGAGCAATGCTGCGGACGAGTGAGGCGTGTGAGACCGAGAGAAGGACAGGAGTGTGTGGCGCGGCCCGAATATGAGCTCGGTCTTGGCACTTGGAGGGCCGCGTATTTTGACCGCGCAAGACATAGAGGGTGGCTAAGGGCTCTGCACGCAAGGCGCCCGCGTCGCAGACGCGGTACCTTTGTGCTTTTTGCGCAAATCAGAAATCTGCACACACTGCAGTGTATACCGCCCACGACACCAATGGTTGGGTAGTAGGGCTAGAGGGTCACTCTACACTTAGCCTCTGCAGCGAGCGAGCGCTCAACTTAGCCCCCGCACGGAGCCGGGCTCGGACTTAGACGCTGTATGGTCGGGGGCCATGAACTTAGACGACATAAGGCCAACTCCGGGTAAAACCCGGGTATACCTGCAAAAGTCCAGGTTTACCCGAAAAATACCTGGACGCGTCCCGACCAACGTATGCCGCGCACGACGCCATATCGCCTTGTCCCAGGGCCAGTGCGCTACTTGCGGCGCGCAACTCCTGCTCAAGTACGCGCACCGTACCATGTGCTGCCGCTATGCGTGTCTTAAGGCGGCTGCGGCGAAGCGGCGGGCGCGGCATGCCGATGGCAGTGCGGACGATGCGGTTGCGATGTGTTCTGCTTCAAGATCGTGGCGGTGCTTGGCATGCACTTCTGCGATCCCAATCAGCTCATCGCAACGAAGCAGCGCAACAAGCTGGCTGCTGCCAACAAGGCCCTATGCTAGATCTACCTCACGCGCGGATCGTTCAAAGAGAACCAGCATACACAGGCTTCTCTGACATGCGTTTGTTTGAGCTTGAGGCTATTTATGTGAGAAATGTTTGGCTAGAGATTGCGCTCAAGAAGAGCAACGAGAATCGGAAGAGGAGGATGCTGAGGCGGCGATTGCTGAGGCATGAGGAGGATCGATCCGGATTAGAAGGCGCCCGCCGCAGGCGAAGAAAATTTGGGGGCTAGCGCCGTATATCGTTGATCACGGTGGGAGCCTCTTGGCCCCAGGCTGTGCCACGGCCGACTTAGCCGATGTAAGAGGCTCTCGCTGATCTTAGACCGCGTAAGCACCCGAGCGTGACTAGTCACACTTAGACCCGCTCAGCCTCGAGGCTCAGAACTTAGACTACTACCCAACCAGTACGACACCTAGACCCCCCCACACGAGCAAATAGCAAAATCCGAATACCGTGCACAATGCAAGCCTTCAGCTGGTAGCAAGACATCCGTCAAATTGAAACCAACAACATACCTAAACAAGAACGCTGAGCCCTGGCTGTCAGGCTGTCAGGTGCTGTCAGGTGATCTGTCGGGCTGTCGGGCAGCTGTCAGGCACTGTCAAGTGCCTCTGTCAGACCAGCTGTCAGGTGCTGTCAGTGCTGTCGGGTGCTGTCGGGTGCGTGTCTGACAGGCGAGGGGCTCTGTAGCTGTCGGGTGCTGTCGGAGCTGTCGGGTGTTGCTGTCAGACGCTGTCGGAGCTGTCAGAGCTGTCAGGCTGCTGCTGCTGTCAGCCGTTGGGCTGTTACTGTCAGGTGCTGTCAGGTGGTGCTGTCGGGCTGCCCTAGCTGTCGGGGTGCTATCAGGCTCTGACACACACCAGCCACACTTATGACACTATCAAGGGGAGACCAGCGGGTACGCAGCTGCCCCCCTCCTACGGCGTGATCACGCCGGCAGGGGCGGCCGCCTGGGGAGCGCAGATGGCGGCGCAGGCGCAGGCCGCGGCGGCGGCACAGACGGCGGCGGCCACCCACACCCAGACGCCGTAGGCATATGACTGTAGGGCCCCAGAAGGCTAGCTGGTAGCTTCATTTGTAGTAGCACAGCCGCCGGTGCTAGAGAGGGGTCCGCAGAGGTGGGGCGGGAGGGTTGAGAGCTTAGGGTACCCCTAGGGTTCTGAGGGCCGGATTGTTTTAAGACCTTTTAGGAAATGAGGAGGTTTGGGGGCTCAAATTGTCATTTAAGAGATTGCAGGCACGGGGGGTCCCTCTTTTAAGTCTGTTTAAGAAAATCGGCCTCACCGGCACGCGTCGCTGGGTTCCGCGCCGTTTTATCCAATACTGCCTTTATTAGGCACAAACCCGCCTCTGAAGACACATCTGTAGGTCTGGTGCACTGGCAGGAGCCATACTCGCATAGGGGACGCGTGCCAGCTGACTGTAGCCAGCTTCCCGGCCTCCGGCGTCTACCGGGAGCCTCCCGGACCATCGACCTCGGGAGCTCTCCCGCACCGTTTAAGCGTTTAAGACCGTTTAAGGAATCGGCGGCCCAGCAGCTCTTAAAACCGGCCTAGGCCGGTTTTAAGCCGTTTAAGCCGCAGGCGCCCCAGGGCCCACCCTTTTAAGCCTAGGGGTACCCTAAGGTTGAGAGAGTCAGAGACCCATGACCATCCCATGACTACATGAACCACACTCACATGTACATGTCTTTGCATGTAATAGTTTTGTTATACCCTCATGGGGCACAAGAAAGAGGCTCTACGGGGGGGGGTCTGACTGTGTACGGTCTGTGCTGCTGTCGGGCTGTCAGCGCTGCTGTCAGGCCACTGTGTGCTGTCGGGCTGTCAGGCAGCTGTCAGGCTGTCTCACGTTAGGGTCTGACAGCGACGGAGCGCCTCGCCTGTCAGGCTCTGCTGTCAGGCTGTCAGATACGTGCTGTCAGACTGTCAGAGAAAGTGCTGTCAGCGCTGTCAGGCTGTCGGGCACTGTCAGGCGCTGTCCGGGGTTTGCTGTCAGGCTGTCAGACCAGGGCTCAGCAAGAACGTCCGCCAAATCTCCGTGCTTTACGGCGCAACTTGAGGGGAAGCCGCTGATCGAGCCCAGCGTGCCCGCGGCCGCCTCCCGCGCACCGCCGCTGGGGACGACACGCTGCGGAATCGGATCGAGCCCATGGAGGAGGAGGGCGCAGTCGCCGAGTCGGCGAATTGGAGGAGGAGGAGGAGGGCGCAGTCGACGAATGGGAGGAGGGCGCAGTCGACATTGGCGTGTCTGACTCAGAGGAGGAGTTGGCGGTGCTCCGGCAACCTAACCTGATTCAGAAGCTCGCCGACGTTGTCGGAGGAGCTCCGCTAACGATTCGGCCGGCCACCCAACGCCGCCCCCCTACCCGCCACCCACAAAGCGCCTGCTCTACTATCCCTCTATCCCCGGACCACCCGCTCCACTTTCCACGGATCATGCCCGTGATAGCACCATCACTGCCGCCGTCCTGGTTTGAACGCGGCAGCTAGACTCTAGGAACTCGGTAGTTGTGACCCCCCTGTGCCCTGAGTGAGGAGCAGGAGAGAGAGCTTTTGAGAGAGAAATTTTTGAATTCTTGAGCTTTTGTGGTGTTGGTGTACGCAATAACGGGACAGGGTGGTTGTTCTCTCTATCTACTATCTCCTCTTCTAGCTCTTAGCATGAGCTGCGCCCTGTGTCCGACCCCTTTTGCGCAGCAACACCTTAATGCTTAAACTTTTAGGCCCTCCACAAATTCGGGCTTGAGCGAGCGTAGGTGTAGTAGCGGAGTGGGCCCCGAGTTTGAAAAGGGGGAGGACGCGTTGCGTCCTAGCCTCCAACAACGCCTCCCCGGCGCAGAGGCGCCCCCGGAGGGATGCACCAGCTCCGCAGCATTCACAAAGAAACAAAGAAAGAAAACGGACAACCCAAGGGCGCAGCATTCACATAAAATAAATAAAACGGACAGACCAAACAAGGGGTGGGAGAAGGACAGGGTCCCCACCTGCGCGAGCAGGATCTTGTAAGGACGATCAGCAGCATTCACGTTTCTCTGTGGAAGGTAAATTCTTTTCTTCTTCTCCGCTGCCGCGAAACAGTGGCGAGAAACAGTGCGAGCTCGCGTAGGCTCATATGAGACGTTCAGCCCTGGCCTGGCTTTCGCTCGTCGCAGCGGCGGCAGCGCTGTCCGCGCCGCGGGCAGCAGCCGTGAAGAGTCGCCCGCTCCTGTTCGGTAGCCGGCGGGCCACCGCGCTCGGCGAGCGGAGGATCCTCCGGCCTGTGCGGAGGATACGCAAGGGGCTGCCGAGCGGGAGGTGGCTGCTGGAGTATGCCGACCTGCGTCCCCTGGACGAGAGTTCTCCAGAGTGCCAGATCTTCCTTGCGACCAACATCGTCTTCTTCGCCGCCGGAGGCGCACTGGTTGGCTCCTCGCCGGCGCTTGCCCTTCAGCTCGAGCTGGCCGGGATGGCTTCGGTGTGGTACCATTATACCCAGTGCTGCTACGGAGGCACGCAGCACCCTTCCGTGCAGCTCGCCATCCTTCTCGATTACATCTTTGCCGTTCCCACCGCCCTCCGCACGCTGGTGCTGGTCCTTGGGCTGGGAGGCGCGGTGCCGCCGAGCGCACTCCTCGCCGGTGTGGGATCGTTTGCGGCGCTGGCGGCGGGCTGGGTGTGGGATGGACCCCGCGCGTACATGGCGTTGCACGGTGCCTGGCATCTGCTCGGGGCACTCTGCGTGTACGAGGTGGCCATCGCGGCTGCGGGTTGACCGTTGCCGGGGAGTTTTTTTTCCTAAACAGCGGGATTAATTTGAACCGTAGATCTAGATAACCGACGGCGACGCGGGCCGACGCGGCCGGGGCCGAGCACTCGAGGAGGGCCGAGAGAGGGAGAGACCCGCGGCACGTGGGACGACGACGTGTCGCGCTCTCTCCGCGACGGCGCGCTCCGCAGGGGGATGGAGGCACCAACGCGGTATGGGGGCCCGCTGGGTGCGCTTCTTAGCTCCCCGGCCCTGGATGTGAGGTTGCCAACAGCACTCCAAGTGCTCCATGTCCAAGCGCCATATGGGCCACTCCGTCGCCATGGGCCACTCCGTCGCCGGTCGCAACCACGTCCACCGACTTTATCCTGAAGCCTACTAGAGCGCGGGTAAAACCGCAACAACCCCACACAGCCCCTCTCCCACCTCCCCCCACTAGCCCCTCACCTCTCTTCGTCGGTGTTCGTAGCAGCCCTGCGTGCGACCTCGTCGGCGGTTAAGCCTGCGGAGCCCCGTTGCGGCTCATCGCTTTTCGAGTTTACGATGAGGTTGAACTTGTCGTCGATGTCCACCGTCGCTCCGAGCAAACCGCCCTCCCCCACCCATAGCGCCTTGCGCTCGACAAAGAGGGTTGCTCCGCTCTCGAGATCAATGCGCTCATCTGTCCGGTCCTCCTCGCCACTCTTCACAAAGTTCAGCGTGTACGTGAACCCGCTGGGACTGCCCCAGTTGTTCGTCATGCCGAGGCGGCAGCCCGCCACGTCGGACTTTGTGCTCTGCAGCGCAAACAGGCGGCTGTCGGCGCGGTCCGTCTGCAAACGCGGCGGCAACGGTCAGAGCTTGGGCGTATCGCGCGCTGCCACGGGCGGCGCGCACCACGATGACGGATGGCGGGAGCTTGCGCCTCCAACGCACGGCGGTGGGCCACGCAGGCAGCGGCCGCGGCGCTGCCAGTCGACCTGCTCGCCACATTCGCCGACGATAAAAATATTGCCAGTGGTCCGCCGCGTTTTCTTCCTCCGTTGATCGCGGCCGCGGCCTTCCTCCGCGCCTGCGGCAGGAAAGCAGACAGGAATCCCATATGTCTTCAGAAGAGGGAGAGGAGGTCACGCCTGCTCCAAGCAGTGAAAAATTTGACGGCAAGGTTGTTGCTGGCGCAGCAGCGGTTGGCGGCGTTGCCGCGTTTGTGCTTGCGGGTCCGCTAGTCGGGCTCGCTGCGGCAGGAGGAGCGGCGTACGCGGCGACTCGCAACGATGAGGTGGGAGCGGCTGCCAAGTCGACGGGGAAGGCTGCTCTCGCCATCGGCGACAAAGCACGGGAAATCAACGAGGAGCACAAGATTTCGGATAAGGTGGCAGAGGGGGCGAAGAACAGCTTGGCCTGGGCTCACGACATGAACGAGCGGCATGATGTGAGCGGGAAGGTCACCGCAGGAATAACTGCGGCTGGAAACTGGATCACAGACAAGCTCGGAGGCGAGCAAAAGAAGTAGAGGCTAGAGCTAGAGAGAAGCGTGGGCCGCCGAGGCCGACTGCCGGTGTCGGGTGTGTGCGCGAGACGTCAGACGTGTGGTGTAGACTGTGAGTGTGTGTCCGACACGCGACAGCAGCACGGTTTGACCCTGGGCCGCACGCTGGCAGTGTGACCGTATTAGCGTACGTACGTTTTGAGCGTGTGGGACTCTCGATTTTTTGTGCCTGCGTGTGTCGTGTGTGGAGAGCGGAGTGAGAGACACAGGAGAGGTGGCGAGATGCTCTAGCAAGGTTGAGTACAACGGCGTCCCGCCCGCGAGCGCGCGCGTAGCGGCGATCGGTACATGCGCCAAGACTGCACACAAGAGAGAGGATACGCGCCGGTGTCATCAACAAAGGGGGGGGGCAGCGCAGGGGCGCGCGCGGTCAGCGCGAGCCGCCGCCCCAGCGAGCCACGCCCTCCCCGCTGACCTGGGTCCGCTCTAAAAGAGGTGGAAGTTGGCGTCGAACGGCGCCATCACCTCGCCCGCGTACGGCCGGATGCCGACGTTGGCCAGAGCAGGCACCGAGCCCGGCACCTTGGCCTCGGACAGGAAGCCCATCAGGCCAATCATCGCAAGGCGCCCGTTGTTGACCTGTGGCGGCGACGGCCCGAGGGCGAGGTAGAGGGAGAGCGGAGCGGGCGGGCGGGGTTTGCGGGGCGGCGCGGCGCGGCGCGGGAGGCGAGGCGAGGCGGGGCGCGGCGGGGAGAGGGGCGGAGGGAGGCGGGCGTGGCGGCGTGCGCCTCTGCGAGCAGGCCCTTGGCCTTCTTCTCGGGAGAGGCGTTCTTGCTGAAGCCGAAGGGGTCGAAGAGGTTGAAGGGGACCTGGCCGGCGGGGCAGGGGAGGGAGGTGGGCTCGCGGTCGGCAGATTGGGGGCTCAGAAGCTCGGCTCGAGCGGCCGGGCGCAGGCGAGGGGGGAGGAGTGGCAGGGGGGGGGGGGGGGGGGGAGTGGCGGCGCTGCAACAGCACCGGGTGGGGCAGCTCGGAAAAGGTGGGGAAGTAGCCGGGCTTGCCGCCGCGCATGTAGTGCTGCTCGCCCTCCTTGCTCAGGATGTACGAGTTCTCGCGCCTGCGGCGGGAGGCGCGTCCGTGCTCGGCGGCGAAGCAGCAGCCGCCGTCGCTTGCGGTGCGAGGGCCGCGGCGGGTGCCACACGCGGGCGAGGAGAGGGAGGGCCGGAACGGCGCGTGCGTGCGCGCCAGAACTCGAGGAAGGCGATGGTCAGGATGATCTGCCATTTCGCCGCCTCCGGCGTCACGTCCCACAGCTCCTGCGGGGAGAGCCCCTTTGGCGCCGCCATCGCAACCTTGTCCCACGGGAAGCGAATGTCGTTGGCATGCACGATGTAGCCCACAAAGCCGGCCATCGCGACGCGGCCGTGCTTGATCTCCGACTCGCGCAGGAAGCCGATCGTCGCTGAGTTCGAGTCGCCCCAGAACTCGCCGTTAGAGAGGTTGAGCGGGTCCCAGTAGCCGACGACGGGGTTGAGCTGCGGGCATTGGGCCGGCGGCACCTCAGCAGGCGCGTCGCGTGGCCGCACAGGCCGCCGGGCGAGCGGTGGCGGCACGCTGGGTGGTCAAGTCACAGGCTGTCGCGCCTCCTTAGCAAAGCCCTCGAGGCCAGACTTGTCCATGAGCGCAGGCGCAGCGGCACGGACGGCGCCGCGCCCCGGGGCGGCGACGGGCGCGGTGATCGCGGCAGAGCCGGCGGAGAGGGCGACGGAGGCCGAGAGCTGCGAGGAGGGGGAGAGGCTGTGAGGAACGTGAGGGTGGGGACGAGCGTTCGAAGGAGCGGATCTCACCATTGGAGCAAATTTACGGTATCGAGATGCGCGAACAAAAAGAATTGAAGGCTCACTCACGCGTACAAAAAGAAATTAAGAGCGCGGTCAGCAGCTCACATCCAGGGCCAGGGGGCTAAGAAGTTGCGTTCTTTGCCGTTGTAAAATTCTTTTCCTCTTGCCGTCGCCCGCGCCTCGCCTGTCGCGTGAATCGTAAAAGAAAGAAAGAAAACACACAACCCAAACGAGGGATGGGGGAGGAGGACAGGGTCCCCACCTGCACGAGCAGGATTTTGGAAGGACGATCAGGGGGACAGGTGGGGCTCTCCTGCTCCTGACAAGGGACACGACAGGCTCGCAGCGCGGTGCGCGGTGGACTCCCACATCCACTGGCGGTCTCATCTCAGAACTCAGTCTAGCGACCTTCCTCCGGCTTCTCACCGGCAGTCTCTCACTACCACGGGCACACTGACACAGGGGTGGCAGGGGCGGCGGCATGAGTCTCCCACATGCTATGCGGGCCTCACTAGAGGTGCGGCCTGCGCGTGAATCGTAAAAGAAAGAAAGAAAGAACCGACAACCCAGGGGAGGGATGGGAGGACGGCACGCCGCCACCGCGTGAATCGTGTCGTGCGATTCCGCCGTTTAACTTGGAAAATTCTTTTCCTCGCGATGTCTGCCCCGCCGCGCCGCCGCTCGCGCCGCCTCGCCCCCGGGGCCACCGCCTCCTCCGCCGCCGCCCCCTCGCCGGACACGCCGCCGCCCGCCTGCCTCCTCGACGTCCCCACGGACCTCCTCGAGCGCGCCCTCGTTCGCTGCGACAGCCCCGTCGACATCGCTCGCGTCGCGGCCGTCTCGCTGCTCTTCCACGCTTCGCTCGCGGCGGAGGCCATCCGCTTGTGGGCGCAAGAGCGCGGCTTCGAGCTGCCGGCGCAGCCAGAGGACGAGGGCTGTGCCGTGCGGTGGCTGTGCTTCGCTGCGTTGCTGTGCGAGTCCAACCAGCCGGCGAGGGCTGCGGTAGGCAGTCAGCATAGCGTCTTCATCGACGGCGAGGGGCGGCTCTCGTCTTGCGGCTCGGAGGAGCACGTCGCAGGCCTCCTTGGCCACGGCGAGGGTGTGGCGCAGCTCAACACGCCGACCCGCCTCCCTTCGCCGCTGGGCGGCGAGCGCGCCGTGAGCGTGTCGGCTGGATTTGAGCACAGCCTTGCCATCACCGCCGGCGGCTCTGTCTGGAGCTGGGGGTATGGAGAGCAAGGCCGGTTGGGCCACGGTGACGGGCAGAACCAGCAGCTACCCAAGAAGGTCGAGGCCTTTGCTGGCTACCGCGTCGTCGCTGTCTCGGCTGGATACGACCACAGCCTCGCCATCACCGCCGACGGCTCCGTCTGGAGCTGGGGCTGGGGATTCTCCGGCAAGCTGGGCCACGGCGACCGGCAGCACCAGCTGCTGCCCAAGAAGATCGAGGCCTTTGCTGGGCAGCGCGTTCTCGCTGTGTCGGCTGGGCTGGACCACAGCCTCGCCATCACCGCCGAAGGCGCCGTCTGGAGCTGGGGCGGTGGAGTGGACGGCCGGTTGGGCCACGGCGACCAGCAGAAGCAGCTGCTGCCGAAGATGATCGAGGCCTTGGCTGGGCGGCGCGTCGTCGCTGTGTCGGCTGGAGGTCCGCACAGCATCGCCATTACCGCCGACGGCGCCGTCTGGAGCTGGGGCTATGGAGCCAGTGGCCAGCTGGGCCACGGCGACCAGCAGAAGCAGCTGCTGCCCAAGAAGATCGAGGCCTTGGCTGGGCAGCGGGTCGTCGCGGTCTCGGCTGTGGCTGGAGGTCTACACATCCTCGCCATCACCGCCGACGGCAACCTCTGGAGCTGGGGCAGTGGCCGCGAAGGCCAGCTGGGCCACGGCGACGATCAGACCCAGCTGCTGCCGAAGAAGGTCGAGGCCTTGGCGGGCCAGCGCGTCGTCGCTGTGTCGGCGGGAGCATACCGCAACTTCGCCCGCACGGGCGATGGCGCTGTTTTTGCCTGGGGCAAGGGCGGCCACGGCTGCCTAGGACACGGAGAGGACCTGTCGGACCAGCTGCTGCCCAAGAAGGTCGAGGGGTGGGCGCCGGGGCAGTGAGTTAAGTTTTCTTTTTAGAAAAGAACCATGGGCTGCCTTTTCTTCTTCTCGCGATGTCTGCCTACCGCCGCTCGCGCCGCCTCGCCACCTCCTCCTCCGCCGCCGCTCCCTCGCCAGACACGCCGCCGCCCGCCTGCCTCCTCGACGTCCCCACGGACCTCCTCGAGCGCGCCCTCTCCCGCTGCGACAGCCCCGTCGACATCGCTCGCGTCGCGGCCGTCTCGCTGCTCTTCCACTCTTCGCTCGCGGCGGAGGCCATCCGCTTGTGGGCGCAAGAGCGCGGCTTCGAGCTGCCGGCGCAGCCTGCGGACGAGAGCTGTGCCGTGCGGTGGCTGTGTCTCGCTGCGTTGCTGTGCGAGTCCAACCAGCCGGCGAGGGCTGCGGTAGGCAGTCAGCATAGCGTCTTCATCGACGGCGAGGGGCGGCTCTCGTCGTGCGGCTCGGAGGAGCACGTCGCGCGCAGGAGGCGGCTGCAGGCCTCCTTGGCCACGGCGAGGGCGTGGCGCGGCTCAACACGCCGATCCTCCTCCCCTCTACATCGCTGGGCGGCGAGCGCGCCGTGAGCGTCTCGGCTGCAAACAAGCACAGCCTCGCCCTCACCGGCAGCGGCTCTGTCTGGAGCTGGGGCGGCGGGGGATGGGGCCAGTTGGGTCACGGCGACACGCACCAGCAGCTGCTGCCGAAGAAGGTCGAGGCCTTTGCTGGCTACCGCGTCGTCGCTGTGTCGGCTGGATACGACCACAGCCTGGCCCTCGCCGCCGACGGCTCTGTCTGGAGCTGGGGCTGGGGAATGTTTGGCATGTTGGGCCACGGCGACGAGCAGACCCAGCTGCTGCCCAAGAAGGTCGAGGCCTTGGCTGGCCAGCGCGTCGTCGCTGTCTGGGCTGGATCAATCCATTGCCTCGCCATCACCGCCGACGGCGCCGTCTGGAGCTGGGGCGATGGAGGGAACGGCCAGTTGGGCCACGGCGACCGGCAGCAGACCCAGCTGCTGCCGAAGAAGATCGAGGCCTTGGCTGGGCGGCGCGTCTTCGCTGTGGCGGCTGGAGGTCCGCACAGCCTCGCCATCACCGCTGACGGCGCGGGTGACACCGCCTTTTATCATGAAGAAGACTTTCAATCACAATGAATGTCTCACCTTGTGACGGTGCCCTGGCAAAATCGTCCCGATTTCGATGCGCGATTTAGCTAAGTCCCAGAGCCGTTTACGCATGAGCGGGCCCCCTCACCAGCCTAGGGCTCGCGCTTCTGGCCCGAGCGGTGTCGCCCCGCTGCCTCCCGCGCCCTCCGGCGCCTGCTGCTACTGCCGGTCGGCCGGTCGGGTCCGCGCGACGGCTCCATCCTCGAGACGTAGCGGTCGCTGAGCGCTTTCTCGACCGCTACGTCTTCCAGTGCACCCACCCACCGCGACCCTCGAACCTGCGCTGCGCGGCGCAGTTGCTGCCGAGCGAGACGCCCCCGCCCGCGCAGGGGCGGCATCACCAGACGCTACCGCATGGCCGAGCAGCGAGCAGTGTGTGCCGCAGTGCCCGTCCGGGCCCTCTTGCAGCTGCCTCTATTGGGCGTAAACCGCGGATATAAGGGTCTATACGGAGGTGGGTGGCCTCTTAGAGGTATGGGAGCCGCTGGCACCGCGCTGGGCGCCGCGGATGCACGTACGAACGAACATTATGAAATCGGGACGATTTTGACCCAAAAATCACAAGGTGTTTTATAGTGAACGTTAGTACGGCATTCCGCACCGGGGTGCCAAGCTCTCCATGCGCAAATTGTGCCAAGCTAGAGCCTAGACTCTTTCACTCTCGGTCTACGCCCCCACGGTCGCTCCCACCCGCGTCGCCAAAATCTTCCGCTGCAGGTGCTCGCCCGCCGTGATCGGCTGCCGCAGCCGCACGCCGCCTCCGCCCGCGGCGCAATCGACGCACGACGGGATCGTCTCCACCACCGCGTCGTCGTGCGGCCCCGAGAAGAATGCGATGGAGAGCCTGCGCGGGAGAGGAGAGGGCTAGGGTGCGGCCAAGAGGCCAAGTGAAGCAGCACAGCCTCGAGCCCACCTCCCTTGCGACGCCGCCTCCGTCCCGGGCTCCGGGGCGCGCACGCGGTGCACGGTGCTCATCCACCTACCGTTCGTCATGTCCTCGTACAAGTCGCCGATGTTGACCACAAACGCGTCCTCCTACGAAGTCATGCTGCGCGTCATTACGCATCACCTCTCCACGGACGCTGGCCCCATAAGAGGCGTGGCCTGCGGCAAAACGACGGGCGCCCACGTCGCGCCGTCTTTGAGCAGCACCTCCAGTCCTCCGGAGCCCGGCAGACTCCCATCCGAGTCGTCGGGCTTGAGGACGGTAAAGCCGCCATAATCGGTGTGCGCGCCATAGCGGAGGCCTCCCTGTGGCTGCCGCTGCGGCGGATAGTGCTTTGCGACCACAAAGCACGTGGGTGAAGGCGAGAAGAGCGGATCAAAGTAGGTGCACGACAGCCCGAGTGCAGCGGCGCTGATCTGGTTGAGGCCGTCCAACACGCGCCTTCCGTTACACAGCAGTCAGAGCGCGGCTTTGGCTCACGCCTACTCCTGCCGCTCCGTCTACCTACTCCGACTCCCGCTCACCTCATCTGGCGGTGGTACGAGGCTGCCTGACACGGGAACGCGTGAAGTGAGGCAGCGCCTCTCTATTGGTGAGGTGCGGTGATCAAAGGACCATGGCTTGGAACTCGTTCGGCTGCGCGGGCAGCGAGCGGCCCCACTCCGCAGGTTCGCCGCGAGAGCACACGTACGACTCGACAGGATCGGCGGCGCGAGTCTGCGAAACGCCGTCTCCGTTCAGCACCCCGTGCCCGTCTGTAGAGAGAGCCACCGCCTGCTCGCCGAGTCCTTCGAACCCGCCGAGCGGGCTGCCGTACGGCCCGTGCCGGTAGGACTCTTTGTGAGCAGCCTCGCGCCGAAAGAAGGCGGCAAACCCGTCGCGCAATTTGCGGACTGTCTCGCCCTCAACCCCATGTCCTGTGATGAACGCGAAACCAACCTCTGACATCGCACGGTCCCACGTCGCCGCCGAGGCGGCACGATCCGAGTCGCTGTGCTCGTGCGGCGACATGAATGGCCTGATGCTCACCACGGGCACAAAATCAAGCATTGTCTCCAGGCCATAGAGCTCTAGCCCGACGCTTCACGGCCCTTCCCTCTGTCTCCGCCAACAAGCGCCGCGAGGGGACCCCGGGGGGGTTCTCTCGAGGTTCTCGAGGTGGATATCCTTTGGCCGCGTTGGGTAGCGAGGATTGGTCGTGCCATGCTCCGCTCTCACTCTCCAGAGAGACTGCCGGTGAGAAGCCGGAGGAAGGTCGCTAGACTGAGATGAGACCGCCAGTGGATGTGGGAGTCCACCGCGCACCGCGCTGCGAGCCTGTCGTGTCCCTTGTCAGGAGCAGGAGAGCCCCACCTGTCCCCCTGATCGTCCTTCCAAAATCCTGCTCGTGCAGGTGGGGACCCTGTCCTCGTCCCATCCCTCGTTTGGCGTGTCTGTTTTCTTTCTTTCTTTCTCACTCTCCAGACGGTAGGGAAAAGTCGTGCTCGCTCCTACGCGGCAGCAGCTTGCTGTGCTCCTACGCGGCAGGCGCCGGGAGTTTGAAAATTCGTCTTATCCTTTCGCCTGCGGAAACGTTCAGGGCTCCCTAGATGTCACCCCGGAAGCTCCGACGTCGACGCCGACGAGTTGCCACCTCACTGTCCTGCGGGGGTGCTCATGACACAGCAGCAATGACAGCAGCAATGACAGCAGCAATGACAGCAGCAATGACAGCAGCAATGACAGCAGCAATGACAGCAGCAATGACAGCAGCAATGACAGCACAGCAGCAGCAACGACAGCGATGACAGCAGCAATGACAGCAGGAACGACAGCTGCGCAATTACAGCAGCAGTGACAGTTGGACCAGTGGGGATGGTTACGACAGCAGCAACGACAGCAGCAACGACAGCAGCAACGACAGCTGGTGACAGCTGGTGACAGCTGGTGACAGCTGGTGACAGCTGGTGACAGGTAGGTGTCACTGTCGCTGTCGTTTGCTGTCATGACAGCTGGCAGCTGTCATGACAGCGGCAAACCGTCGTGACAGCGGCTAACCGTCATGACGTGAACTTTCCATAGTCTCTCACTCTCCAGACGGTAGGGAAATGTCGTGCTCGCTCCTACGCGGCAGCAGCTTGCTGTGCTCCTACGCCACCCGAGAATTTGTTTTCGGCCTCTATCTCTTTCGGCTTCATTGCAAATGCTGGCGACCGCCTCGACTCTGTCTCTCTCTTACGCCGCTCCCGCGGCGCCGGCCGGCGCCTCGCTGCGGCACGCTCGGCCTGCCGCCGCGCCGCCCCTCATGGAGACGAAAGCCGACCTCGAGGCCCTCGCCAAGGACCTCAACCCGGCGGTCGGTGAGCGGCCCGCACCTCGATCCGCCGCGGATCAGCCTCGGCCGCCGTTGCCGCAGCCGCCCACTCCGCCGCGCCGCTGCCGCAGGCTTCTGGGATCCGCTCGCGCTCTCCGACTACAGCTTCTGGGGCACCTCTCAGGAGGCGACGATCGGCTTCCTGCGCGAGGCGGAGATCAAGCATGGCCGCATCGCGATGGCCGGCTTTGTGGGCTACATCGTGCACTCGAACGACATCCGCTGGACCTTCGACAAGGTCGCCGCGTCGGTGCCCACCGGCCTGCCCGCGCCCGCTGTGTGGGACGCCATCCCCGACATCGCCAAGTGGCAAATCATCCTCTTTGTCGGTCCGCGCTCGCCACCGCCGCCCGCTCGCTGCGTCGCGGCACGAGCTCTCCCCACGGCCGCCGCGCGGCCTCCCACCGGCCGCGTCGGCGCTCCCTGCAGGCGTGATGGAGTCGTGGCGCGAGAACAAGGTGGTGCTTGAGGCGGAGGGCCAGAAGCACTACATGAGCGGAGGCAAACCCGGCTACTTTCCGTCCTTCGACCTGCTGCCGCACCCGGTGGCCTCCTCCGACCCGCTCCCGCGGCCTGGCGCAGCCTGCCCCGTAAGCCTGCTCGCGGCCCTCCCCGCAGGTCCCCTTCCCCCTCTTCGACCCGTTCGGCATCTCGAAGCGCGCCACCGAGGAGAAGAAGGCAAAGGGCCGCCTCGCCGAGATCAACAACGGCGTGTCGCGCCCGGCCCGCCTCGCCTCTCCTGGAGGCGTTCGCGGAGGCGTCTCGGAGCCCCCCCCTATAGGCCGCCTCGCCATGATCGGCCTCTTCGGCTTCCTCTCCGAGGCCACGGTGCGGATCCGACCCCTCGTGCTCTCCCGATCCCCCCCCCCCCCACCCCACCCCGTGGCCACTCGCGCCTTGCCGACGCCTCTCCCCGTCGCGCGCAGGTGCCCGGCTCCGTCCCCTTCCTCAAGGGAGTGGTCCCCGCCTACACGGGCGAGGTGATGGCACCCTTCACCCAGAACATCTTCACCGCGCCGACGGCGCTCTGAGCGGCCCGCGCGCTGTCGCCGCCGCCGCTTCTGCCGCCCCTCTCCTCACACCGTGCGCTTGCGCCGCGCCGCCGCTCCGAACCGGACGCGGGCGCACGCACCCGCCCGTCGGTCGGTGGCCGCCTGCTGCTGCACCGCGCGACACTGTGAGAGGTGCTTGCTTAGTCTAGTCGCGGCTAGCGGCAGCCCCCCGGCTGAGACACACCTGAGTCGCGGCTGACGTCGCGCGGCGGCCGGCCGTGTATGTGTGCATACGCAAGAACGATAAACTCCAGGTTTGTGCATGTTCACAGAGACAATAAATACAGGGAGAGGAGCTCCTCTCTCGCTCTCTGTCTCGCTCTCGCTTGCGGTTGGGAGTCTCTCTCGCGTCTCGTCTCTGCAGACTGCACGGTGCACGCTCTGGGAAGTGTCCGCTGTCCGCCGATGCCGTCGCCTCAGACTCACAGCGAGCTGAGGTGTCGGGCGTGGGGGGGGGCGGCTCTCCGCGTCTCCGCCTTCGTCGCGAGAGAACGCGCCCGCTCCCCATTTCGTCTGGGGCAATCACAAGTACGGCAGGATGGCAGCAACCACCACGGAGATGTTGTCTGTCGAGCCGGCGGCGTACGCCTCGCCCGCCAGCTTCTTGGCCGCCTCGGTGGGAGTCGCGTTCTCCGCGGCCAGCGCGCTCCGCACGCAGTCGCACGCCTGCTGGTCGGTCAGCACGTCCCAGACGCCGTCGCACGCGAGGATGACGAACCGGTCTGCGGCGCAGAGAGGCCGCTCCGCAACGGTCGGCTCGGCGAGCAGCAGCTGCGGAAGCTCCGGCGCGGCGCTGCCCTCGCCGAGCGGCGGGGGCGCCTCCTGCTGCCGCGGCACCTCGATCGACAAGTCGCACCCCGCCGGGCCTCCAGCCGCGCCGGCCGAGCCGGCGCCCGCGTCCGACGGAGCCGGCGCGGCGGGGGCGGTCAGGCGCGCGCCGCCCGCCTCGCCGGCCCCTGCGGCGTCGGCGTCGGCGTCGTCGGCGGCCGCCTCGCGCTCGATCTGCGCCTCGACCCTCGCCTCCGCGGCTGCCCGCTCCCAAGACTGCTTGAAGGCGATGTCCCCGAGGGAGCGGGACGTCGCGAGCATCATTTGCGTGCGCGGGTGCGTGACGCGCCAGCAGCGGCCTCCAAAGACAACCTCGCCGCCCGCGCGCTCGATGCGCGCCCGCTCGCCCCTCTCGTCCGGCTTGTGGTCCTCGGTCAGCCGCACCGCCGCACCGCCCGCCCCCGAACACAGCACCGCGCGCGAGTCGCCGACGTGCGCCACAAAGAGGCGGCCGCCGACGATGAGCGCAACGAGCGCGCAGGCGCCCGAGTCGGCCTCGGTCTGGCGGAAGGCGTCGTCGGTGAGGAGGAACGCCTCCCTCAGGGCGGGGAGCACCGCCCCCCTCTCGAACGCCTCCGCAGCGAGCAGCGCCGCGTGCAGCTTCTCCGCGGCGAACCGCGCGCACGCCCTGCCTCCGTGCCCGTCGTACACTCCGAGGAAGGTGAGCGGCGAGCCCGTCGGGCCCGCCAGGTGTGGCGCAGCGACGCTCTCCACCGTCACCTCGTCCTCCATCGTCGGCCGCCGGCCCTGCAGCTCGTGCGACCCGACACGCACTGAGTGCAGCGGCCCGCTCCGCACCCGCCAGCCCGCGCCGAGCCGCTGCTCGACGACGGCGGCGAAGGCGCCCCACTGCGTAGTGCGGCGCAGCGCCTCGAGCTGGTCCTCGCCCGCCTCGCCCTCCGCGCCCGCGGCAGGCGCCGCCGCCGGAGCCAGCCACACGCCCGCAATCTGCCGCTCGGCCGCATCCACCTCGTAGAGCGCCCACAGGCCTTGCTCACGCGGCCCTCGAAGGCCGAGGGTGCCGTCGAGCATCGCGCCCACCGGCGTGATGAGCGACGCGTGCTGCTCGCGGTCGAGCACGAACGAGCGCTTCCCGCCTCGCGCCGACTCAAACACGGCCCGCGCCAACACCCGCTGCTCGAGCGCCGTCCCGCTCTCGCGAAAGACCGTCTGGTATCGCGTGCGGAAGGCGCGCCCGTCCTTGAGGATCTCCTTGCCGGAGCCCAGGTCACGCACGCGCACGGACGGCGAGAAGCACGCACAGAAGGAGTCGGTCTTGGCCTGCACCGCCCGCTTGGTCGCGTCCAGCCCCTTCTCGTCCGTCCGCGGCCGGTTCTGGCACGGGCGGTTGTAGACGACACGCGCGCCGTCCACCGCCTCCACCGCTGTCCATTCGACCCTCGGCCGCTTCCGTGCCTTGGCGTCGGCCATCGGAACGTCCCGCGATAATTTTCCGTGGCTGGGCGCTGTTGGATGGGCGCGATGAGGCTCTACCCCGAACGCAGGGGTTGGGGTGGGGTGTACGGCCCACGCGGGCATCGTGGTTGGATGCCTGCTCAAGGTGGTCGCGATGGCAAGCGATGACGAGGGATTCGCACTCAGCGTGACGAGCAAGCTCAGGGAGTTTACGGCGCTCGGATACCCTTCGCACGTGCTTAATGGGGCGATCGGGCGCACGTTTGCTCGGACGAAAGACGAGCGGCTCCTACGAGCAAGAATATGTTCGCACTGGTGAAGGCCAGGCGAGCCAAAAAAAGACAAAAAGACTCATCTAAGCATGTCGGAGAACCGTCCAAAGGCGGGTGCAGTCGACCAAGGGACATGATCTGTCGACAGCACGAATTTGTGATGGGACACCATCGGGACCCAACAGTGCGATACTTGGCTATCGCACTGTTGACGTACCGGCGGCTAAGGCCGAGTAGCCGGTGTTCACAGAGCTCTGTGAACACCGGCGAGAGATTTTTTCTCTCGACGTTTCTTCTGCGAAGAAACGTTCAAACACTCGGTGTCGAAACACCTCTCCGACGCGCTCGACTATAGTCTGCGAGCGTGTGGCTGTTCTTCACCTTCCAGTCGTAAATTATAACTTCTCTTTCACTGTGTCCCAACTTGATGTGCCTTGAGCACACGCTCCGCTGCCGTCGCCCCTCTTGTGTCGCCCCTCCCGTGTTTGTTGCGGCCGCCAGCCTGTATCCGACGCCTCCCGTGGACCGTGGCCGCCCCGGGCCCCGCTGCTGTCCCTCATTCTTAGAGCGCGGAGGTTTCGAGACGCTCGCGTCAGGGTGAGACGCGACGACCAACGGTGAAATATGTGATATGTCGTGATTGCACTTTTTCCGATTACGGACCTTTACGCTTGCGGTGCCGCTGCCGGATTTTTTCGGCCCCTGTGTGAAGTGTGTGTTATGTCTTATGCGTGTGTCGGAGTGTACGCACACGGCAAGAGAGTGTTTCCTGTTTGCGTGGATTGTGCTGCTTTTTACTGTACGCTCTTTCACGCGTTACGGGGAGGACATAAAACACTAAACAGCCGACCTCAACCGGCGGTCGGTGAGCGAGCCCGCCCGCCGCTGGCTGGCTTCTGCTCGAGGGGGTGTTCTCAAAGCTGCTCGAGCCCCTGGCGGAGAGGAGGGGGGGCGGGCGCACTCTCGTCTTGCCATGACTGCCTGTGCAGGGCGAGTTGGGAGGTGGGTGGAGAGCGCGGGAGGGGGGTCGTTGGATGTCGGACGCGCGGTGAACGGCGAGAGCACGGGCGGCGGGGCGGGCGCTCGTCCGCAAGCGGTCTCGCACCCCCCCTGGGTGCCGCGTGGCGAAGCCGCTGTCTAGCGCGTTCGGGACCGCTGTGCGGCGCGCGGGCGCGGGGCGGGGGCAGAGAGAGAGAGCTGCCCCCGCCCTCGAGTGCCGCGCGCCGGGTGAGTTGGTGTGTGTGGAGGCGCAAGGGGGTTGGGCGCCGGGGGGGGGGGAGGGGGGGGGGGATTGTATCTGGGGGGCGGACAGGCGGGCGGGCAGGGAGCGGCGCCTCCGGGATGGTTGGGATGGTTGGCAGATGCGGGGCGGCGCCTCCCTCCTTCTGCCACCTTTCGTCGCGAGAGAGCGTCATCGCAGTGCCGCGCGCCCCAACGAGGAGAGGCGGGACGAGCCAGCTGGGGCGTGCGCCCTCTGCTGAAGCCTCTGCTGAAGCCGCTGCCCGCTCTCGCAGCCGCATCTCTCCCGCCGCCGCCGCCTCCGGGCGGTGGCAGTGCCCGGACTGGGAGAGCCAAGTGTACAGGGGGGGGGAGCCAATGTACAGGGGGAGGAAGCTTGTCGCGCCGCTACACGTTGGACGCGCTGAGCTTCCTCCGCAAGTGCTCTCTGGCCAGGACGGGCTCGTACAGCGGCGGGTGCTCCTCGTCGACGCAAGTGGGCAGCGCCTGCGGGAGGGCTTGGAGGAGAGGGTCCGGGGGGAGGGGTCCGGGGGACGGGTCCGAGGACCAGCGACTGCGTCTGCGGTGCGTGGGCAGGCACAAGAGCAGCGCGCCTCGATGACCGCCTCGTTATGCGGACCCGTGAAGAAGGGGATGGAGAGGCGGGGCGCCGCGGCGGAGGCGCTGCCGGCGGGCGGCTTCATCACGCGGTGGACGGTGGAGCGCCACCGGCCGTTGGTCCACACCTGTCGGCCGGGGCCGCCCATTCAAGCTGCGGTCTGGCCGCTCGCCGCGGTAGAGTGTGTGCACGCGGGAGTGTGTTTGCCGGTGGAGTGTGTGTGCACGCGGGAGTGTGTGGTGTGGTGCGGGAGTGTGTGTGTGGTGCGGGAGTGTGTGTGTGCCGCGCCTCGTACAAGTCTCCGATGTTGACGACGAAGCAGCCGCGCACGGGTTGGAGGGCGTGCCAGTGCCCGGAGCGGAGCTTGACCTGCGGACGTGGCGTGGACAGGTCCGAGGAGCGTGCGGCGTGCGGCGTGAGAGGCCTAGGAAGTGTCTAGGAAGTGTCTAGCTCCGCCTGCAGCCCGCCCGCGCCTGCGAGGGTGGTGGGAGGGGGAGGGGGTGGGGAAGGGGGGGGGCGGGTACAGCCTAGGCAGCATCGGGGCTCCCGCGCGCCTTCCTCGCCCAGGTCGCTCTCGTCCTGCGAGAGGAGCGTGAAGCCTACGGGACGTGTCCGGACAGGTCGTGGACGTGTCGCGGCCCTCGTCCTGCAGGAGGCGGGGGAGGCCGGTGTAGTCGGTGTGCTCGCCGTATCGGACGGCGGAGGAGGCCTGCTCCGAGGCGGAGAGGGCGGGGTAGTAGGCGAGCCGCAGCGACACCTCGGCGTGCGGCGAGTAGAAGCGCTCAAAGTAGTCTGCCGGCAGGCTGAGCGCGGCGGCGGTGAGCTGGTGCAGGCAGCCGAGGACTCGGAGCAGCTCGCTGTGGTAGGCCGAGGCAGGCTTATCGAGGCAAGTCGGCGCCGCCGCGGGGGAGGCCGGCTTGAAGATGAAGGACTCCACCAAGTCGGGCGGCGCCGCCGCGCTCGCCCCGGCGCTGCGGCCGCCGTCGCCGCCGTGCGTGTCCCGCGTGCGTGAGACAGCCTCGGTGCCGATGCCGGTGTAGCCGCCGAGGGGGTTGCCGTACGGACCGTGGCAGTAGGCAGCCTTCGCCTCGGCGCTCCGCTCGAAAAACTCGTGCGCCGCGGACCGCAGCGCCCCCACGACCTCTGGCGCGACGCCGTGGCCCGCGACGACAGCAAAGCCCACGTCACTCATCGCGCGGTCCCAATCCGCAGCAGCTCGCGCGCGAGCGGCGTCGTCGTGCGCCGCCGGGTTTGCGAAGGGCGAGATGTCGATCGTGGCGACGACCATGCGTGCGACTTGTGGGCCGCCGACCAGCGCCTAACTCGGGTCTGGGGCTGGCAGACCCCAGCCTGGAGCCCCAGCCTGGGGTCTGGGGCTGGCAGCCCCAGCGGGGTGCGGGGCAGAGCCCCGCGAAGAAAATTTCGTGCCTTTTCTTGACTTCTATTGGCCGTGAGGAGGCATTCCTCGAAGAGCTCCCCTCCGTCTATGTTCCACTTACTTCCACTTGAACGCCGCCCCGGCCTCATCCGCTCCTCCGCCCCGCTCTCCGTCGCCGAGGCCCTGACTGACCGCAACGCGATGGCACAATGCGCCGATGCGCTCGGCTCTCCATTCTCTGTGCCTCACCGCGACACCTCGTGTGCCAGCGGCCCCCGCGGCCGCCGCCACCACGTAGTCCTCGTCTTCCATTTGGATTTGCGGCGGGCGCCCGGCAGCCAGCGGCAGCCGGCGGCAGGCAGCAGCCAGCGGCAGCGAACGCAGTACCACACGGCAATCGACTGGTCGGCTCTGAGCTCTGTGCCAATTCGCCGCCCTCGCGCTCCAACTCGTCCCGCCAACTCGTGTACCCCCCCCCCCCCCCAATCTTCTGGTTCCACTTCCTACATGCCTCTATTTTTTCTTTCCCTCAGGAGGACCCTGAGAGACGGATAAAGTCTTGTAGTTGCCTATGATTTGCGAAAGATACACTCGATGTATCTCCACGGTGTATCTTCGGCGTGTATCTTCGGCGTGTGTCTGGTTCCACTTCCTACATCCCTATTTTTTCTTTCCCTCAGGAGGACCCTGAGAGACCGATAAAGTCTTGTAGTTGCCTATGATTTGCGAAAGATACACTCGATGTATCTCCACGGTGTATCTTCGCGGCGTGTATCTTCGGCGTGTGTCTTCATTATAAAGGGTGTATCTTCGAGTCACGAGTGTGTCTTCGAGTGTATCTTCGGTGTATCTTCGCCCGGACACGGCGTGACACGCCCCTCGCCGCCGGTTTCAATATAAAGATAAATACAAAGATGAAGAAAATAAGCGCCGCGGCGGCGTCGCATTAGGCGCTACCGCTAGGACCTGCGGCTTCCTAAGTCAACTTTTTGAGATCCGTTTGGCTTAGCTATAACACCCGAGTTCATAATGACAAATCTCGTGCTTCACGTCAACACACCGAGATACAGTCGAGATATGACCGAGATATTTTCAGAAAGTTCGTATAGCTTAAGCCAAAAAAGCAAAATGAGGAGGCCGTCCTCTCTTTCTCTCGTCTCAAAAAGTTGACTTAGCTCTTAGAGGAAGCCGCAGTCCCCAGCGTCCGAGAGTGTCACCGGCGCTTATTTTCTTGATCTTCGTGGCCACGGCCACGACACTCGCTCCAGCTGCCACCCTCGTTGAGATCGCGCCAGCGCACCACCATCACGCGGCAGCCTGCCGCGACCTTCGCGGCCGCTTCCCCTCTGGCTCCTCCGCGGTGACCGGCGCAGCCTCCCGCCGCCGTCCACCTCCACGCGGCGGCTCGGCCCGCGCCTGCTCGCCCGCCGCCTCATCCACCGGCTCGCAGGGCGCCAAGCTCTCGGCCCGCACGGCGAGGACCTCTCCGCGCACCTGTTCTCAGCAAGACTCGTCAAGGGTCGCCGCCCACACTGCGAGGCGGAGCGGCCCAGGTCGCTGCGAGTGCGCCTTGACCTTCCACCGCCCAGCCGTCGCCTTGCCGGTGCACCGCTTCAGCACCTGCGCCTGCGCGCCGTTGAGGTCGGCGCGCGACGCGAGGCCAGTCAGCGTCGCCCACCCGCCCGCCAGGATGGCAGCCGAGCCTGCCCCACCCGAGGCCGCGGCCCCGCCGCACGCCGCCTCGCCGCTGTCTGGAGGCGCCCCCTCCGCCGTCCCTCGCTTTGCGCGCCCCCCCGCCTTGCCCTTCCCCTTGTCCTTGCCCTTGTCCTTGCCCACCGCTTCCTCGCCCGCCGCCGCCGCCCCCGCCACCTCGCCCGCCTCCGCCGCCCTGGCCCCCGCCTTGACCCCCTTCCTGCCCCCCGCCTTGCCTTTGGCCTCGCCTCCCGCCTTGCCCGCCGCCTGCCCCTTTACCTGCCGGGCCGGCACGAAGGCCGTCGTCCTCCCTCCGACGGTGTCAAAGTGGATCCGGCCGAGCGGCGACGCCATCGAGCCCGACGTTTGGCCCTGCACCGGTGGGCGGCGAGGAGGGAGGCGAGGGAGGGAGGGCGGCGGTCAGGCGGAGCGGGAGGGGTGCGGGCGGGCTTCAGGGACGGTCGGGAGGGGGGTGTGGGCCGGGCTTGCGCGCCTGCCAGCGGTGGTGGAAGAGCCAGCCGACGGGGAAGTCGCAGCCGCGCTCGAGGCGGCCGCACGCGGCGGTGCAGACGGCGAGCACCTGCGCGTGGATCGCCGCCAGCTGCTCCTCGGAGAGGCTCTCGCAGGGCGCCGCCGGCAGCACGCCCGCCTGGTACAGCACTTCGTCAGCCACCCAGTTGCCAACGCCGCAGACGACGCGGCCTTGGTCGAGGAGCGCGGCCTTGATCGGCGCGCGCACCCGCCGCAGCACGCTCGCGAACGCCTCAGCCGACGGCGGGTCCGTGACCGGGTCGGCGGCGAGGGCGCTCAGCGGCGGCCGGGAGAACGGGTCGGCGCCTCGGAGCAGCACCCGCCCGAAGCGACGCGGGTCGGTGAAGGCCAGGCGGACGCAGGGCGCGGAGACGCCCGCTGCATCGGCCATCAGCAGCTCCAGCTTGGTGAAGCGAGGCGGCCACGCCGTCTCGTCGACAGCGAATGACTTGTAGACGGGGGCGGCGACGCCCTGCACGATCACAGCGCCGGTCATGCCCATGTGGATAAGGAGGCACGCGCAGCAAGCGCCGCCCTTGCTCTCGCCGAGCTCCAGCCAGAGCTGCTTGCCTCGGCGACGCACGCCGAGCACCCACCGATCCTGCAGCGTGATGGCCAGGACGTCGGGCGTGACTTCCTCTGCAATCACCTTGTCGTCGAACTGCCCTTCACGCGGCCCGCCGCCCTGCTCCACGGCAATCAGGGTGGCGATGCGGCGCCCAAGCGTCGCAGCCTCGATGGTACTGCGCTGGGCCTCCACCTCCGGAAGCTCGGGCATCGTTGCGCGCGGCTTGGCACTGTGGAAGTCCGCGAAAGGTCTGCGAGAAGAATTTTAAAATTCGGGGGACCCAGCTGCGGACTGGCGCGTGCTAGAGAAGATTCCGCGCTTTCTTGTTGCGTTCTTTCTTTACCCGGTCGGCAATTCCCTCGTTCGTTCACTTTCGCGCGCAACAGCTCTCTCTCTCTCTCTCAACGCGGTCACCTTCGCGGATCGCGCGCAGAAAGAAAGAACAAATGACAACGCATACGAGCGACCGTCCTGGGAGGAGGACAGACAGACGTGAGATGACGTCCCACCTTTGTTTGCAGGAGGATTTTGGCAAGGGGGAGGGCGAGGGGCGGCGCATCGCACGCGGAGAGGGACTTCTGAGCGACTGACTACACACACGCGACGAGGGGGAGGGGGCCTCTTTCACATAGGCGACATCTCGGCGGCACGTGGGTGGCAGGCTCTGGGCACTAGGGCAGGCTCGGATCCTCCCCCTGGTGCGACATGTCCGACGCGCGACGGGCATCGGGCAGTTCAGGCTCGAGACGGAAGAGGGAAGTTCACGGCTGAGGGAGGGTGTAGAGGATGTAGAGTGTAGAGCGCTGTAGAGCTGTAGAGATGTAGAGCGCTCTGGAGCGCTGTAGAGCTGTAGAGCTCTACATCCGCCGCGGGACGAAGCGCCTCCGTTGTAGAGCGATGTAGAGCGCGATTTTGCTGTAGAGTATGTTGTAGAGGCTCTACAGCCACAAACCGCCGGGAAGGCAGTGACTCAAAGAGGTCGAGCCGCGCTAATGGGGTGTCTCCGAGCTTACTGGAGCTCTGATGGACGGCCCTGACTATCCCTGACACACAGAGAGTCACTCTGATGGCACACAACACCCCATAACTGCGTCATCACCAGCCTGCCATGCGTCGCCGGTGCCGCATTCGTCGCTGTGCTTCTTTAGCAGGCGGTGGACTGTCGGCTGCGAGGACGGTCGCATTTGCGCGAGGCGAGGCGAGCATTCAGACGCGTTGCATGCGCCATGACTCGCGCCAGCGCGTGCGGGAGCTCCTGGCTGAGCGTTGAGTCCAGGCGAGTTGCGCTGGCCACGATCGCTACGCCGAGCCGAGCTGACGCGCCGAGGCGCCGGCCAGTCGCAGCCGTGAGGCATGCCATAGCAGCAGAGGCACCTGCCACCCATTGGGCGGGCAGACAGAAGGCCAGGGCCGCACTGGCAAGTGCAACGCGCCTCATGTCGGAGAGCGACCGTGCCTCGTTCGCCGCTTATGATGTAGAGTTTGTTGAGCACTTGAGCACTTGATAGGGTCGATTCCGCATGGTACGGGACCCCTCCGATCGTCTCGCCCTCCCTCACTGGTGTGTTCATTGGGGGGGGTCATAACAAGAGTTTGTTAGAGATTTCACGTTGTAGAGCGCCTCTACATCGCTCTACAACGGAGGCGCTTCGTCCCGCGGGCGCGGCGGATGTAGAGCTCTACAGCTCTACAGCGCTCTACAGCGCTCTCCAGCGCTCTACATCTCTACAGCTCTACAGCGCTCTACACTCTACATCCTCTACACCCTCCCTCAGGTTCACGGGGCTTTGAACATTCTTCTTGGCTCGAGTGGGAGCGGCGCGGTCGCGCTAGCTGAGGGCAAAGCCAACTTCTTTCTTTTTTGAGAGCGCCTTCGTTGTTAATAATACAAACCCAATGGTCCCTTGTCGCAGTCACACACACACACATACGCACACGCCGCTCCGCACCGCACGCCTAGCACCGCGCGCCCACCCGGGTAAAATTGTGCGTCATGCTGCCCGGCGTTTCTCACTTTCCGGGACAGCCCCGCCCTTTTGAGGCAGGAGGGTGTGACGACTACCGTCTACCCCGTACGCCCTGCCGCTTCTACCCCATCGCCGACCGCCCATTCCCCCCTCCTCGTTCCCCCCTCGTGTTCTTCAGCCTCGACAAGCCCCTACCGACGTTGAGCTTCTGCCCTGCACACACCCGGAGCTATGCATTTCTTTTTCGACGGAGGGCTGCTTCGGCGTACGGCCGACAGCAGCAAGAGTGCTCTCTCCTCTCAGGCCGCTGCCCTCACCGATGCTGTGGGCCGCCTCCCTCTGCAGTGCCGCCGCTCTTGTCGTCGCGACTCGGCCGAGCCAGCCCGCGCTGCTCTCATCCAACGTCCTTCGCGCGGCGCCCATCTTGAGCAGCGTGGAGGACGACTCTGCGGAGGAGGCCCGGCGCTCTGCCCTCCGGCTGCCGCCGGAGCAGCCCGATCCCGGCCCCGACGACACGGGCGATCCGCTGGGCGGTGGCGAAGACGAGTTTTTCCGGGCCGCCGAGGCGCGTGTGCGGCGGCGGGCGCGCGATGGGCACTACGAAAAGTTGGGCACCACATCGCGCTCGCTCCCTCTCGTGGCTTTGCTGGCGCAGGTTGGCCTCGGTGGCGCCCTCTCGCTTGGCTTTGGCTATTGCTGGCTCGTGCGGGCGGAGGCGGACGCGGGAGCCGGCTGGGCGGTCGAGGCGCTCTCAAACGCGGACGCATGGTTCATTGGGCCCGCACGGCTCGTATTTTCGCAGCCGCCGGGCGGCCCGCTGACCCTCGTGTACGCGCTCGCAAACGCACTCAATGTGCTCCGCTGCCTTCCTCTCCTCTTCGATCGCGTGCTCGTGGCGCGACTGCCAGGGGCGGGAGAGACGCAGACGGGCGGCGACGCGGACGCGGACGGGTAGAAGAGCTTGCGTCTCGAAAGGTTGGTTTTTTGGTCTGATATATGTGTGTATGCGTGATGCGTAACTTAATGGCTACCAGCGTGCAACGCTGCCAGTCCAACGCCCCCTCTCCCCACGACAACGACTGGCTTGGCCGCCATGGCGGCGCCGTGCGAGCGGAGCAGCTGTTCACATTCGACGTGCTCCCAGAAGATAGCCTTGTCCAGCGCCGTGTCGCCGTCGGAGACGACGACGGACAGGTCGGCCCCGGCGGCGATCAGCACCTCGAGGCAGTCGTCATGCCCGTACCGGGCGGCAACCGAAGCCGCGGTCCACTTGTCTGCGTTTGTCACATTTACGTTTGCGCCGGCCTCGACGAGAAGCCGGGCGAGCTCGTGGTCGCCGTTGAGGCAGACCCACCAGAGTGCGGTCGTTCCGAGCTCGTCCTGCCAGTCGAGGTCGGGCCGCACCTCTGGTGCTCCGCAGTAGCTGCCGCCCTCGCGCAAGAGGCGCTTCAGCTGCTCCCGCTCCTGCGCGCGCGCGCACGCGTGTACCTCCCAGCCGAGCTCCCAGCGCACGGCCCTGTGTGTGCTCTCGTCATCGCTCATCGCGCGGCCCTCGTGGAACGGCTCAGCCCAGGATGCGCAGCCGACGCAAATATAGAATTTACAAACAAAAGAACTCTCTCTGCCAGCAGACAGGCTCGAATAGAAGGAAAGAGACAAGTTTACAAGAAAACTCCTCGCACAACACTGGGCACGGGACTGGCGCGCACTGGCACTGGCACTAACACAAAAAAGAGAATAATAAAATAACGTACGGGCCCTCAGCGGACCTCCCTCTCGCTCGCGCTGCTCGCGCCGCCCCTTGGCCTCGAGCGCCTTCTCTGCCGCCGCGCGCGTGCCGCCGCCGCTGCGGCGGAGTGCGCGGCTGCACCTTCACTGTGCGCCGGGGAGGCGTTGTTGGAGGCTAGGACGCAAGCGTCCGTCGCCCTTTTCAAACTCGGGGCCCACTCCGCTACGCTCCGACCCGAATTTGGAGGGCCTGAAAAGTTTAAGGTGTTGCTGCGCAAAAGGGTGGGGAGCCGCGGCGGCGCCGCAGGCGCGGGCGCGCAGTGGAAGCACGCTAGCCATACATACTCACGCAGAGAAGCTGACGGTCGGGGTCGTGACGGCTCGAGGGTGCGCACACTAGCGGCCGGACGCCTCACCCGCGGACGCCCTCACCCGCACGCGCACCCTCCAACATCGCCGCCGAGCCCAACGCCCTGCCGTCAATCTCGACGAGCGCCGCACACCTGCGCGGACAGTGGGCAGACGTTGCCGCCTTGTGTCCTCGTGTGCCCGGAAAGCCTCGAGCCGGCGCGCACCGGTGGCAGCGCAGGATGAGGCGGCAGCAGTGGAGGGTTGGGGCGCATTCGCTGGCCCCGACGCGCCATTGACTGGGTCGGGGTGGTTCCTCACCCCTCTGGTTTCAGTCAAGCGGGAAGAGTCTGTGCAAGGGGGGCGGATGGGGCTGGCTGCGTCACCTTGGAGCATGAAAGCTTCCTACAGTAAGGCTACTCGAGTACGCAGCACCTTGGCTTGGCCCCCGAGCGGGGAGGCGGTCGACGACGCGCAGCATGGCGGTGAGCGCAGCCTGACGACGCGTCTTGATGGACGGATCCTTCTGCGGGCTGACCAATTCCGCCCACCTCTTGACCGGCGGCTTCGTCACCAACATGCGCTCGAGAGGCGGAGCAGCCTCGATGCGATCCAGTTCGGTAGCTATCTTGTCGCGCAGCGCATCGTCAAAAGGCAGGTTGTTACAGGCGTCGCGCGCGTCCCCGAGGTCACGCAGGAGGCGCCCCCCTTGCCCTTGCTTCGGTACCTCCCGCAGCAAGCGAGGGTGAGCGCGCCGTAGAGCTCAATCCCAGCGCAGGCGAGCACCCCCGTGTGCACCGCATCGGAGTTCTTGCCCGTCTGCAGTATACGGAAGTGCCTGTAGGCCGTTGCATTCTCAACGGCCCACCCAGCTACCCCGTGTGCCTGCTCGCCAAAGGACAAGTCGCGCTCGTGCTTGCACAGCATTTGCCAAGACAGCCCGTCGTTGCATCCCTGGAGCTCCCAATTCCTCATGCGGAAGCCGCTGCTCACTCCTTGGCGCAGGCAATAATATGAGACAGACAGCCACCGGTTTTCGCCGATATCGACGGACATCCAGCTCATCGGCACGTTTCTCGTGTTATTTCGCTGTCTGCCATCATGCCCGTGCATCACAAACGCTCAGGGCAGCTGTGGCTCCATCGCCGCTAGCATTAAGCCGCTGCGGTGCGGATTGACGTATGGCTGAGTCCTTCCTGCCGTTGCGATCCAGTAAAGCGCGCCTTTTTCATCGAACCTGTGAGGCTCGGCGTGGGTGTATCCACCTAGCTGCTCTGGCAACGAGTCAAACTCGCAACTTATTGTGACACCGCAAAAATCGAAGATTATCTGGCTGCATGGCTGAAGGCAGAGGCAGCGGTGAGCAGAGCAAGAAGGTGTAGAAACGCGAGGACTGCTCGTTCGCCAGGGCTGCGGGCGATAGCTCTTCCATAGCGACACGAATCAATAAGATAGCTCTCGTCGGTCTAAGAACTCCCTGTAGTCTTTGTTCATCAACTTCCCCATCGCATCGCAGTAGTGCCTGGTGACTGAGAACCCCATGAACCAATACTTCTTCCTCTGCAGGGCTGGCAGGTCAAGTGGTTGCTGAGTGCGCACGCAATGGTCGTCGAGGATGTGCAAACTAGGATCACAGCTCGGATCGGTCTTGCGAAAGATCCGGTTGTCGCGATCGAGGGTCCTGCACTCGTGAAAGTCGTACACTATGCCTGCGCACCCAGCTTGGAGCTTGCAAGTGGGGTCCTTCACCTTGTCCTTCTCTTTCGTGCAGCAGTGCGTGTCTACGCGCCCGTACGCCTTTCTCTCCTTCTGCGGCCAGGGACACGTGCTGCGAATCACTGTTGGGGCCATCGTCGGCGAAGTTGTTGGGACTGTAGGACTAGCTGCGGGCACGGTTCCGGCTGTGGGCGCTGCTCCGGCGGGTGCAGCATTTACCAGAGGCGGCTCCATATGTGTTGCAATAGCCCCCGGCGCTGTGGTTGCTGCAGTGTGACACCCAAAAGGTGTTGGACAACGGTGACACGAGGGCTGGGGGTGTGAAGGGCATAACCATGGTTGCGTGCAGACAATGGAGATAGAGCAGCCCCGGAGCGGAGGCCCGCCCGGGGTATTCAGTGTGTCGCGGGCGCCTAATCGGGATTAATTCCGTCGGGCGCCAACGAATTTACGTTTGCCGTCGGTGTTTCGCAAGCGCGCCTGGCGGCGGCTTGTGCTATGCCTGCTTTGGAGCCCGACGGGAACGCGGGAGCTATGGTCTCCCACCCTCCTCCCCTATAGCCTCTCACAGTCTGGCGACAGTGGGGCTCCCGTAAAACGAGGCGATGTCTTGGCACCAGCTGAAGCTTGCCCCCGTCCACGGCCCACATCACATGGTTTCTGCACGGTATTCGGATTTTGCTATTTGTTCGTGTGGGGGTATATTGCAGATTTGTCAATTGTACCGCGTCTGCGACGCGGGCGCCTTGCGGGCAGAGCCTTAGCCACCCTTTATATCTTGCGCGGTCAGAAATTCCTCTTCCCCTCTCAAGTTGTGTAAAAAAGAAAAAGGAAACTCGCTCCCGCCCCCGATCGCCGACTGTGGTTCAGCTGGTTTGGTTCCGTGCTGCAGAGCAATGCCGCCGAAGCCCGCCCGCGCGCCGGTGCTCATCGCCGGCGGCGGTCCGGTCGGCCTCTACACGTCGGTGCTCCTCTCGCGCTTTGGCGTGCCCTCCATCCTGCTGGAGCGCCAGCGCGCAGGCATCCCGCACCCGCGAGCGCACCTCATCAACACGCGCTCGATGGAGCTGTTCCGCGAGGTGGGGCTCGACCAGCGGGTGGAGTCGCTCGCTCCGCCGATGCGCGAGTGGCGCGAGTTTCGGTACTGCCGGAGCCTCCTTGGCCGACAGATTGCGTGCGACGACCACATGGCGACACCGGCGTGGGACGTGCTGCAAGAGGCGTCGCCCGCACGGCTGACGCACGTGTCGCAGCCGGGGCTCGAGGAGGTGCTGCGCGAGGAGGCGGCGCACCTCGCCCCCGAGGCCGGCTCGCAGCTCCTCTTTGGCTACGAGTGCGCCCACTTCGACGTGCTGCCCGGAGGAGGAGTTCGCGTCGAGGCGCGGCGAGCCACACGCGGCGGCGGCGGGGAGGGAGGCGGCGAGGGCGAGGTGATCGAGATGGAGGGGAGTGCTCTGCTCGCGTGCGACGGTGCGCACTCTCCCGTCCGCCGCGCGCTCGGCCTCCGCCTCTCGGGTGCTGCCTGCTGCAGCGGGGCTTCAAGCGCGTGAGGAGGCGCCGTTGACACGCCCAGCCGTACATAGGACCGCCTCCGCTGCAGCACTTCAAGAGCGTGCACTTCCGCGCGCCATCGCTCGCTGAGCGCCTCGCTGAGCGGTGTGGCCGCGCCCAGACTCGCGTCCCCGAGCTGGCCGCCTGGAGCCGGCCGCCCTCCCCGCGCCCACCTCTGGCCGCGCTCTCCCCCTCCCCAGGCCGGCAATGCTCTACTTCGTCTTCCACCCGGAGGCGGTGGCGGTGCTCGTGGCGCATCACATGGGGCGCGGCCTAGGCTCCCGCCCGGCCCTCCTTCCACGCTGAGCCGCGCCTCTTCACCGCTGTTTGTCCGGGCAGGCGCGGCGAGTGGGTCGCGCAGCTGCCCTTCTTCCCGCCGCTGCAGGACTGGATGTTAGTCTGTACCATCATGCTGCGATGTCTCTCAACAGTGCCGCCCTCCTTCCCACCGCCGCAGGACGGCACGGCGCTCGACGTCGCCGAGTGCGGACGGATCATCGAAGAGCTCGTCGGCGGGCTGCTAGCCGACCCTCCGCGCTGCTCACGACACCGACCCATCGCATAATGACACCGGCCCATGGCACCGCCCCATGACACCGCCCCATTACGCGTCCCCTGGCACGTCCTTGACGCGTCCCCTGGCACGTCCCATGACGCGTCCGCAGGCGGGCCTCTCCCGGACCTCTCTGTCTGCTCGGCGGGCGCGTGGCGCATGTCCGCCAAGGTCGCCCAGCGCATGTCGGTTGGACCGGCACGCCACGCCCTCGGCGGCGCAGGCTCACCGCGGCCGAGCCGCGGGCCCACCGACGGCCTCGGTGCTGCTCTCTAGGTTCACTTGCTGGGCGACGCGGCGCACCAGTTCCCTCCTGCGGGCGCCTTCGGCATGAACACCGGCCTGCAGGACGCGCACAACATCGCGTGGAAGCTCGCCGCGGTCCACCACGGGTCCGCGTCGGAGCGAGCTTCCCGTAGGCGGAGGGTCGAGGCGGTGGATCGAGCGTGAGGGGCTGCCTTCCGCGAGTAGGAGCGGCTCCTCTCGAGCTACGACGCCGAGCGCCGCCCTGTCGCCCACGCCAACGCGCGCCTCGCCGTCCACAACTACGAGCGAGGCCTGAGGGTGGCTGAGGCGCTCGGCCTGCCCGCTGCAGCGCCCGACCTCGCGGCGGGGGCTCTGGGCGCCGCGTCGCGCGCCGCGCCCGCGCCGGTCGCGAGGGCGTTCGGCTCGCGCCGCGTGGCGCAGACCGCCAGCGCCGCCCTCGACCTCGCCCGGTCGGGTCTCCTCTCCTCCTTCGGAGACCGCGAGAGCGGAGCTGCGCGCGCGACGCCGCTCGCGGACCGACTCAACGCCGCCGGCGCAGCGGCCGGCGTCGGCGACGCGCGGGTGGCGGCGGCGGCCGCCGTCGTCTCGGAGCGACGCGCGTTGCCGCTCCTGTTTCCTCGGCACGAGCTCGGCTTTGCGTACCCCGCTCGCGACGCGCCGCGCCGCCAGGCCCTCGGCCTGGACGAGACTGAGGCGGAGGTGGAGGACGAGACCCTCCGGCTGTGCGGAGCGCCAGGTGCGCGGCTCCCGCATGCCCGTGAGCGCGCCCGTTCCACTTTTTTGACCCGCCCTGCACCCGTCCAGGCACGCGGCTGCCGCACCACTGGCTGCACGCCGTGCCGCGCGGGAAGGAGGGCGGGCCCGAGGAGCGACCAAAGGCGGACCCTGCGGAGCCGGTCTCCTCACTGGACCTCCTCCATGCCGCGTCCGGCGGCGGCGAGATCCTGCCGCCGGAGAGCGTTTCGCCCGCCGCCTTCACTCTCTTCGTCGACGCGGAGGACGCAGGCTACTGGGGCGGCGGGGCGGCGATGCTTCTGCGCTCCAGCGGCGGTTCGGAGCGCGACGCCCCGCCGCCGATGCTGCGCGTAGTCGCCGTCGCCACTTCGGCCGTGGAGGAGCTCAGCGCAGCGGCCGCACCTGGCGCCCTCCTCGTGCAAGACCCGGGGGGGTGGAGGAGCAAGCTGGCGGCGAGCCCGGCTTGCGCGGTGCTGGTCCGCCCCGACGGGCACGTCGCGTGGCGAGGAGAATCCGCCGAGGAGGGTGTCGCCAGTGCGCAAGACGCAGCGGACCGGCTTGAGCAGGTGATGCGTGCCGAGCTACGGAGATGAGTGTGAGGGTTCTCGATCGGTGTTGTGTGGGTTGAGTGCGGCTACATACATCCGAAGAGCGCCGTACCTGAGTGTGTGCATCGCTCCTCTTCCACATCTACACCTTGTGTCTTGTGATGAATCGGTTGCGCAGACTGTTTTTTTGTTTTTCGTTCCAACGAATGAAAACGGTCAAACTCTGTGCCGGTCTGCGCGGTGGAAAGGATGATGTTCGAATGAAAATCCGGCACCGAGGCCTGGGGCTCTCAAGCCTCACAGGCTCAGTCCCCCCCCCCCCCCCCCTGAGTCCCCCAGTGGGTCGTGGCCAGGGTCGTGAGAAGCTACTGACTTGTGACTAGCTTCAAGATGCACAGAGCGCGCGGCGCGGGAGCGAGAGCGTACTTTTTGAGTTATCTCCCGCACGCTCAAGCTGGACCTACACACCTGAAACGCCAAGCGCCGGTTCGCCTTCGCACTCACATCGTGTTGCTCCCATCAAAACTCGCGTGTCAGGGGCGTAGATTGCGGGGTCGAGATTACTTCTTCACCATCAAGAGTGCCGCGCCCAGTGTCCCAACAGCGGCGGCAGCTCCTGCTGCGAGCACGGTCGACTTCTTCTTCTCCTCCGCCACCTTGGCGTCGTACTCGATCTGCGCTGCCATGAGCTCGGCCGTGGCGTGCTGCTCTTGCATGCGGTCGACCATCGACGGGCGCACGGTAGAGGTCCTTTCTGAGGCGATCGAAGCCCGTTCGTCCGCGGTGACGCCCTCGACTATAAACATCTTGTTGGAGTTCTCAAGGTGGCGAATTCGCTTCACGTCCGCCTCGACCACTGCCGGGTCCGGATGGCTGAGGATGCACTGGCCGGTCGAGGTGAAGAGGTCGATCGTCTTGCTGATTGAGTCGCCCGGCGAAATGTCCTCGTCGACGTGGACGTACGACTTAAAGTTCTTGATCTCCTCGTAGCCCGGGCACGAGACCACCTTGCCGTCAACGTAGGAGACGAACATTATGTTGCAGCCGCTGCCCTTGAAGGGATAGGCGGGCGCCGAAGGGAGCTCGTTCCAAGCCGCGTCGTCGAGGTAGCAGTCGATGCTTGCGGTGACCTACGCCATGGCCGGGGGCGCTCTGAGCCCGAGGCCAAGAGCAGGGCTCCGACGGCGTTCACCACCTGGTTGTAGCCCCCGGTGAGAGCTGAGGCCAGCGGCATCCATGCGCCATTGCCGCCATGGCACCGGCAATTGATCTCGACCAAGCACGGGCCTTGCGCAGTCATCATGATTTCGCTGTGGCTCGGCCCATTCTTGAAGTGGATCGCGTCCAGTGCGCAGCGGGTGTATTGGATCAGCCACTGTGCTGTCTTGGACTGGGGGTTGACCGGCACCATTCCTGTGCGGGGAGGCGCGGGCATTGGTCTGTGAAAGGGAACGGCGATTGTGGGCTGAGCAGGGGAGCACACCAAAGTAGACAAACTGCGAGCCGTTGCGCGGCCGCTTGTCATACTGCCAGACCATCATCGTCTTGTGGTATCCGTCCTTTGACACCTGGTCAACCACGTACCTGCAGCAGGGGAGAGGTGAGGCCTGAGGGCCGGCAGCGCTGGATGGGGACTGTGCTTGTGAGAGCGCACTCGGTCCCCTTGAGAAACTCCTGGATGCACACCGCGGCATCGGAGGCTCCAATCATGCGCTGCGAGTTCATGAGCAAGTGAAAGTGCGCCTGTGCCTCCTCTTTGGTTCGCACTAGCTTGACGCCCTCGGATCCCGCGGATTCCACCGGCTTCACGACAATTGGAAACGGCTCGGAGTCAACAAACTCCTCTATCTCGCCCTCCCAGACCTTGCCGTCGAGACCGCGGACGGCGCGCACTCCAGTCTTCTTGACAGCATTCTGTTGCACCATCTTGTCCCGCCGGTTCTCCATGCCGTTTGCAGTGGTGTTGCCGCGCATCTTCAGGAATTCGGTCAACTTGTCACACACCTTGACGCCGCTCTCGGCGCCGCACATGATCGCGAGCGGCGGCTTGCCGCCCGAGAGCTTGACCACGTACGCCGCCGTGTCTTCGATCGTCGGCCGCTCCTTGAGCTCGCAGAAGTAGCCTTTGGACTCCTTCCACGCTGCCGTCTCCTGGTTGACATGGTCTTCCATCCCCGCGCATTCATCCGTCCAGAGAGCGATGACCTCGTAGCCCCTCTTGGAGACCTCAACCGCCAACGCACCGCCGGTGGTGGCCGGATCGACCACTACCACCACGCCTTTGCTGATCGGCATGGTGTAAGAGCCCGACCCGACGAGGCCGACAGGCGAAAGAACGCGCGGACGGTCGGAATATATAAACATGAAATCGGATCAGCTGTCCTTCGGCTGCTGTGCAAAAGATTGAAAGGAAGAGTAATACATGAAAAACTCGCCGCGACTTTCGTTTTCTGTTTTCTTAAAGGAATTTTTTCTGCCCTTCGCGCGACGACGGGCGCTCGCGCCCATTGCGCACATCAAGGCCATAGGATCCGCCATAGCGCAGAGCTTGCATGCAAGCCGGATCCGTATGCACGTCCAGCATCCCAAAGGATGCGCTGACCGCAGGCTGCGCTGCTTGGTGCTCTCTGCGACAAAAGACGTCGCATTGCGAATTCTGTAAGTGTCGCTCGTGTGAGTTCTGCGTGCCCGTTGAGTTGATCGACCACGTGTATGCCTCCGCTGGCGCATCTATGGTGGACTGCGAGGATGCGATCGAAGTGTCTCCGCCGCTGGAAGAGGTCAGCATTGACATGTGCAAGGCTGCATGTGACGATGCGTTTCCGGAATGCCTCGCCTTCGACTATTCTGGCAGAGGCGGCAGATGTACCCTCCGAGTCGGTGATGGCGAGCCGGTTTCATTTTGTGTCCAGCTCGGCGCATCGACATTCTGGCGGGTCGAGGTGCCATCGGCAGATGCGGACGATGCGAGAGTCGCAGCAGCCAACGCTGCTGAGGCCGAGTCTGAGGCGGCCGCGGAGGCCGCAGCGGAGGCCGCAGAGTCTGAGGCACCTCGTCGTATCATAGTACAGGGCGAGCGGCTACTCGACTCCAGCAGTGGCGAGGAGCTGCTACTGCACGGGGTGAACATCTTTCTCGATTATTTGCGCTTCGACGACATTGCGCTCTTGCGGAAGCTCCTTCCTGCTGCCAACCTCGTGCGCCTTGTTGGTGTGTTTTGGCATGATGCGCCACCTGCCCCGCCGCCAACGGACGGCTCCTCTCCCCCGTTTTGTGCCCCTGCTGACCGCTGCTGCGTTGACGACGAGTCTACCGGCTACTTCGCACCTCACTGCCTCGACGCGCTTCGGACCGCTGTGCAACGTCTCGCCGACGCAGGCTTTTGGGTCATCATCGCCGCGAAGGCCAGATTCGCGGCGGGGGAGTCCTACCCAGAAGCTGCCGACGTCTTCCACGACACAAGACTTGCGAGCGCCTTCGAGGCAATGTGGAGACACATAGCGGCAGCGATGGTTGACCAGCCCATGCTCGCGGGCTTCGAGGTCATGTCTGAGCCACGCTCGAAGGTCACTGAGCAAGCAACGGTCCGGAGGTTTTACGAGAGCGTGTGCAGCGGTGTGCATCTTGCCGATCGCCGCATCCCCATACCATGCGTCGTTGGTCCGACACCATACTACAAGGTGTGGCAGCTCAATTCGTCAATGATTTTACAACTGCCGACGGGTGCGCCTATGCCTGATGTGCTCTACACCTTCGACTTCTATGACCCGTGGGACTTCATTACCGCCGAGCCAGCCGCTGAAGGCTTGGGATACCCTGGCGACTACCCTTGTGGGGTCGCATTCCGGGGATGGGTCCGCAATTTTTGCGACAACGCGTCGCAGGTTGTGCGCGTCGACCGCAGCTGGCTGGAGACGCTCCTTGACTACCCATCGACCCTCGCACGCACACACCGGGTGCCCGTCTTTTCGAATCAGTGGGGTGTCAAGCACTCGGTTCGCTCCGGCCGGCTAGCTTATGCCTCGGACGTGGCTGGTTTGTTTGAAGAGCGACGCATCCACTCGGCTCTGTGGATATGGCGCTCGTACCGCAACGAAAAGTGGGGGTTTGAGCTCGTCCACGAGGACAAGGAGCGCCGCGAGACGGAGGACGTGCCATTGATGCGGCTCCTCAACGGCGTGTGGAGCGGCCAGGTCAGCTCACCCTCTCCCAGCTTGCTGCCGCCTCCGCCGCCACAAGAGGCGGAGTCGCTGGCTATGGGTGGGCGCTTCAAATGCTCCACCGCGCTGGACCCACTCGCCAATTGTTGGTCTCAGCGCTGTTGCTCAGACCCTGCTTACACTTGCTACGTCAACTTCCCGACGCTAGCCCACTGTCGCACGGGTGCGTGCCCCGCCGGTTGGGCGTGCTCCTTCGCGAGCGCAGGAGCACCGTCGCTCCCACCGCGCCCACCGCTCTTGCTCTTGCCACCACCTCAACCACCGGCATTGGCACCGGCTCCGGCATCGGCGCCGGTTCCAGAGACTTTCGATCCACCGCCACAACCCCAGGGTCCGCCGGAGGCCGCCTCATTGGAACGCCGCAGAGCACCCTTGTTCGCCGGATTTCTACTCCTTCTGTCTTGCGCCCTCTGCTTTGTGCGCGCCGCCACGATGCTGCTGAAGGTGAGGCGAAACGGGTTCGCAGTGATGCCGACTGATGAGCCCGACGCTGCCCCAGAAGCGCTGGCGCATCCACACGACTTCACAGTCGTGTCGCTAGCAGACATTCGGGACGGTGGGCTGCAAGCCAGCCAGCCACGCGCATGCCACGAGCCGGCTGAGCTCGACGATGTTGCTTGCCATCCCGTTTGCACGACCGCTACCTTCGCGCGACCGCCTGATCCCCCACCTGCAAGCATATACGCACGCCGTGGCCCAGCTCACGGCCGACCCAGTCGCACTGGTCTCAGCCTAATTCTGGCGGAAGAGCAAGAGGCCGCGCACGCTCGGGGGCTGCAGGCGCCTGCGCGACGATCCAAAGCTGGCAAAGGGAAGGCGAAGCTCGGAGTGCGGGTGGTGGGCGGAAGAAGGTCAGTTTCCTGAATTAAAGTGAGCTGTCTTAGTTACGGCTCTCGCGTAGTAGATCTGTAGATGTGTGTGGGTTTTGCCACTCCCGCCGCGGTGTGTTTGAATCGTCTCAATCGAAGATAAAGGGTTTTGCTCCCGCATGTTCCCCACGTAGCATACGCGCGCGCTCAATCCAAAAAGAGGGGCACAATAAACGCAGGCGGGGCGCTCAACACACTCCACCAGTCTGACTCGCAAAAATGAGCTCTCCACGCTCCACAGTGGCAGTGCGGGGCTACACGTGGTGGAGGGCCTCGCGCGGGTGCGTCGGCCAGTCGACGCCATCGCCCGGCGGCCGCGTGCGGCTGACCAGCGTCCACCCGAGGTAGGAGCGGGTGCGAGGCCCAAAGACTTGCTCCGCGTTGGCGCGGTAGCCGAGCGAGTACTGGTTGCGGAAGGTGCGGCCCTCGCGGCGCGCCTCCATCGCGTCCATCCGGTTCGAGTAGAACTCGATCGTCGTCTGGTTGGTGAGCACGAGGTAGACGTGCCAGAAGAGGAAGATGCCGAGCGCACACAGCACCTACGGGAAGGGTCCGAGCAGAGTCCGAGAAGGGTCCGAGAAGAGTCCGAGACGCCGAGCAGAAGCTCGCCGACGAGCAGAGCACCGCGACGAAGAGGACGGAGGAGTTGCGGGCGGAGAGCAGGTCGTGGCCCTGCAGGTGGCCGAGGAGGCAGGTGCACATGACGAAGACGCAGCCGGCGGCCAGGTGCAGCAGGAAGAGCAGAAAGTACCGGTAGTTGAAGAAGCCGACGCAGTTGTTGACCCACGGGCAGTGGTGGTCCATCTTCAGCACGCACCGGTTGCACACCGAGCAGTGGTGCGTGCGCGCCGGCTTGGGCACGCGGCACCGCTTGCAGAAGCGCACGCGCGGCACCGTCGAGTCGCGCGTCGCCCGCTCCGCCGCCGCCTCGACCGCCGCGAGGTGGTCGCCGGGGAAGCCCGGCCGGGTGAGCAGGCAGCCCCAATAGTTGAAGAGGATGTTGAGGAGGAGGTAGATGCCAAACGCGTGCACGAGCCCGCTGGCAACGACGCCGTAAGGCGCGGTGACGTACACGGGCGCCAGGCCGAATATCCACTGCACCGACACGAGCGCGATGAGGCTGTTGGCAAGAACCACCTGTGAGGCGGCAGGAGAGAGTGCGAGAAGAGAGAAGGGAGCGAGAGAGGTCGCGGCGGGATGTGCTCCACGCAGGCGCGCACCAGAACTGGCCCAACGACTCGGAGCAGCAGCGAGAAGGCCTGCAGCGTGGGTGGGCAGAGTCGGAGGAGAGAGCGCAGCACGACCGCGCGCCAGCGCCCGCACCCAGTCGATCCAGCCGATGGCACTTAATACAACACGCTGGATGCAGCGACAGTTGACGACGCGCTTCATGCAGGTTTGCGGCCGCGCTCAGGGTGATTAGCGCTTGTGGCACTCGGGTCTCGCGCGCTTATGGCCCTGGTGCCGCAGAGCAGAAAAAGAAAAATCGGCTGGTGCGGGATGTCTGTGGGCCCCAGAGCGATATGCCATGTCCGCCTTGCTTTGTTTCCTAACATCGAAGAAAAGAAAAAAATCGCGCGTCCGACTCGCTTTGTCGCTTTGTCGGTCGGCAGCCGATATGGTCCTCTGGATCAAGCTCGGCTTTCTTGCCATCAAGCAGGTAGCGAAGCCCGTCGCCGCGCGCATCAAGGCTTCGGCGCGCACATCTGACACCTTCAGAAAGCTTATACTCGCGGTTGGGCAGCGGCTACACCGCAATACGCTGCAGTTGGACCGCATTGCCGAGGGCAAGGGTGCAGCGACTCATGTGGCGCCCTTGAGAGAGACCGTGGCGGTGGAGAGAGGCTCGGACTTTGTCGCCGAAATGGTCATCTACACCATCTCCGCGACAGTGCTTGGCGCGCAGCCTGCACAACCGCGCACCCGCTGCTGCTGCGGGGCGAAGCTGAGCCCGCCGCCGCCCTGTCGCAGGCGTCGAGTACTATATGTCTCAGAAGTCGAGCGCGAAAAAGGCGGCTGCAGAGGCGGAGGCGACACGGCTCCACGACGAGAAGGAGGCGCGAGAGTTCCGGCGGCTGGACGCTCGCGTGACGGAGCTGTCGGAGTCGGTAGCAGCGACGCTCACCCGAGTGATCGGCGGCCCTCCACTGACGCGGTGCGGGTCGCTTCTAGGTGCGGCTGCTGCTGAAGGAGCGGGACACGCGCCAGTCATCGTGGTTCGCCTTTGCTGGCCGATAGGCTTTGCGCGGTTGGCACTCGCGGCTCGCGCGCGAGGCGGGTGGGACCGAAGCGCACATTGTGTTGAAGGGGTGGACCGCGGTAGCAGGGTCGAGAGGCAGGGACGAGGGTGCGCGGTGCGGAGAGAGCATGTGTGAGAAAGAGAGCGCGCCATCAGTCGAGAGAGACAGAGCTAGAGAGATCGCCCTCTAAGCTCTAAGATCTCACGCGTCACGGGGAGGGTGCGCGAGATCGTGAGAGTAAGAAATGAGCTCCAACGTAGAGCGCTGTGCTGTAGAGATGTAGAGAGAGCGCTCTCGAGCGCTGTAGAGCTGTAGAGCTCTACATTCGCCGCGGGACGATGTGAGTCGCCTGTAGAGCGATGTAGAGGCGCTCTACAACGCTCTGGGCCGGCGCGGGGGCCCCAGAGGGTGTCCATGCGGGGGGGAGATGGGGTCCCATGGCCCGCCGCAGGCGCCGATTTTTTTGGAGTTTTTTTCTTTTTCGAGATTTTTACTTGTTTTCATGGGAATTCGGCGTACTTGCGGCCATGCTATCACGCCTTGCGACAGCCTGTCGGCGCAGCTGACCGTGCCATGATGCACAATTGATCACCTGCATAGCTCGCGGCCTTATTATCAAGCATTCAGTGACGACCTGATCGTACGGCCAGTAGGAAGGTGTCCTTCCAGCTGCGTGCACGCTTCTGGCGCAATGCGCGTCACCTCGGATTGGCTGCTGGCACTCTCGAGGCTATGCCTACACAGCCTCGCGCGCATGGGCAGTCAAGAGGGACCACGCACCTTCTCAGGTGAGGACAGCGCCGGTGCCTCTCTCTTGGACCGGCAAACTTGGTGGTCTCGTGTCACCAATGTGGGACCAGTGCGGCATCGCGCCATCGACAGCTCTGAACTGCGCCTCACCACTGACCGGGAAGGCCGCCAAGTGGGCCAGCACAGGTCGCACATTGTGGCAGCAGTCAGCAGTGCATGGCTGATAGCTAGAGCAGCAGCGTCAGGGTCGCAGGGTCGGATCGTGTCAAGCCTCTCGCCCGGCCGGCCACGTGCAGACGTCGGCCTGTCTGCTGTCTGGAGTGATCAGTCGGCGGTCAGTACGACCGATCAGGTCGGAGTTTTCTGGTGGTTGGAGGGTCTATCTGTATGTACTCCTCGAGATCTCTCCAAATCTGCCCTCTGTTAGACCGGGTTAGATCGGGAAGTTGGTAGTATGAGCGAGTATGAGCGCCGGAGCCCCGTTTCCGCACTGCGGCGCGGCGCACGGTGCCTCCGGGGGGCCCCGCGCCGGCCCAGAGCTACAACGTGAAATCTCAGTCTACAACAAACTCTCTCTCACCATGTGAGGTTGTGCGCCAGACCAACCCGGATGCGGATCCTGCTGAACAAGCTCCTCTTGTAGAGCTCGATCGGTCACACCGCCATCGCCGCCGACGTCTCACTGTGAGATGATGGAGAGCGGGGGGGGACGACACTGCTTTTTGGCAGCGTGCATCCTCGATCCTGTACCGTGTTTGTTATGACCCCCCCCCCCCCCAATGATCCCCTCAAGCTGCGCCGAAAGCAGGGATTTGGCGGACGTTCTTGGCTTCAATTTTACCGGAGATGTCTTGGCACCAGCTGACTTGCCCCCCGTCCACGGCTTAGATCGTCGCATTTGTGCACGGTATTCGGATTTTGCCATTTGCTCGTGTGGTATATGGCAGATTTGTCAATGGTACCGCGTCTGCGACGCGGGCGCCTTGCTTGCGTGCAGAGCCCTTAGCCACCCTTTATGTCTTGCGCGGTCATTAAGGTGCCTCGGGCCAGTTGGGGGGGGCAAACCCTGCCCGCCCCCTAGAACCCCGGGTAAGGCCCAGGTGTGGCCTAGGGCATCAGAAGGGACCAAGAGGAGTCCAGTCTGAGCCATAGAGCCCATGTCTTTGCCCCCGAAGGTCCGCGTTCAAATGCCCGGAACGGACGTTACAGTGGTGTCCGGCCGGAGCAGGCGGACATCGCTGCCAGGGAGGGGGGCGCCCTTCTGCTCACACCACATGCTGGGGGGGGGGTCCGACCCCCCCCAGAGGCTTCACCACATGCTAGGGGGGGGGTCCCGCCCCCCCCAGCACCTTCACCACATGCTGGGGGGGGGGTCGTGGCCGAGGACCCCCCCGGAGACTCGTGGTCAGAGCCCTCCGGGCCCTTGACTTTACACTCGTTTCGCAGCATTTTTCGAGGGAACCCATCCTTTGGAGCTACATGAGCCTTGAGACTGGTCAGATTCTCCAAGATATTGGACTTTCAGCCACGATTTTACAACTTTGGGGGCAAAATCGGTCGGCTCTATGGCGACAATTCCTCCCCCACGAACTGCTGGGGGGTGCCCACCACATGCTAGGGGGGGGGTCCCGACCCCCCCAGAGGCTTCACCACATGCTAGGGGGGGGGTCCCGACCCCCCCAGAGGCTTCACCACATGCTAGGGGGGGGGTCCCGACCCCCCCAGAGGCTTCACCACATGCTAGGGGGGGGGTCCCGACCCCCCCAGAGGCTTCACCACATGCTAGGGGGGGGGTGGGGCGTGAGCAGAAGGGCGCCCCCCTCCCTGGAAGCGATGTGCGCCTGCTCCCGGCGCGATCACCGAGCTGTGACGCTCAGGGAAGCCCATGAATGAGGTGCTGGTTTCTTTGCCCAGGGCAGGCCTGGCTTACGACCCATGCTGGATCAGCTGAGCAAGGTTTGGGGAGAATCCTATAGTAGGATCTTCATTCAGATACTCTTCATTCAGTGAGGGAGGGCGAGACGATCGAGGGGTCCCGTACCACGCGGAATCGACCCTATCCAGTGCTCAAGTCGTCTCGATGATCTCAGACCCAGTGAGGTAGTGCGTCAGACTATCCCGGATCCTGCTGAACAAGTTCCTCTTGTAGCTCGATCGGTCACACCGCCATCGCCGCCGACGTCTCCCAGGGAGACGATGGAGAGGGGGGACGACACCGCTCGATCTACCCTCTGGGGTCCCTCAGCGGCGTGCACCTCGATCCTGTACCGTGTTTGTTATGCCCCCCCCCCGATGAGCACACCAGCGAGGGAGGGCGAGACGATCGAGGGGTCCCGTACCATGCGGAATCGACCCTATCCAGTGCTCAAGTGCTCAAGTGCTCAAGTGCTCATGTAAGTCATTCAGATACCGGTCTCTGGGGGGGGGCGGGGGCCCCCGGAGGCACCGTGCGCCGCGCAGCAGTGCGGAAACGGGGCTCCGGCTCTACTAGTCTCTACTAGCACCGACTTCCCGAATGATCACGGTTGATCAGAGGGCAGATTTGGAGAGATCTCGAGGAGTACATACAGATAGACCCTCTAACCATAAGAAACTTCCAACCTGATCGGTCGTACTGACCGCCGACAGATCACTCCAGACAGCAAACAGGCCGACGTCTGCACACGGCCGGCCGGGCGAGAGGCTTGACACGATCCGACCCTGCGACCCTGACGCTGCTGCTCTAGCTATCAGACATGCGCTGCTGACTGCTGCCACAATGTGCGACCGGTGCTGGCCCACTTGGCGACCTTCCCGGTCAGTGGTGAGGCGCAGTTCAGAGCTGTCGATGGCGCGATGCCGCACTGGTCCCACATCGGTGACACGAGACCACCACGTTTGCCGGTCCAAGAGAGAGGCACCGGCGCTGTCCTGAGAAGGTGCATGGTCCCTCTTGACTGCCCATGCGCGCGAGGCTGTGTAGGCATAGCCTCGAGAGTGCCAGCAGCCAATCCGAGGCAGTTTGTGACGCGCATTGCGTCAGAAGCGTGCACGCGCTGGAAGGACACCTTCCTACTGGCCGTACGATCAGGTCGTCACTGAATGCCGAAGACTAAGGCCGCGAGCTATGCAGGCGGTCAGTTGAGCAGCATGGCACGGTCAGCAGCGCCGAAAGGATGTCGCAAGGCGTGATAGCATGGCCGCAAGTACGCCGAATTCCCATGAAAACAAGTAAAAAATGGCGCGAAAAAGAATAAAATGCCAAAAAAATCGGCGCCTGCGGCGGGCTGGGGGACCCCATCTCCCCCCCGCATGGGTACCCCGGCCCCTTTTGGACGGATGACCGGAAATGGGCAAAAAACGGGGTGATTTCGGTGAAAGAGGTGGTGAAAGCGAGAGAGCGAGCAGCGCCTGAGCGCGCGCGCGAGAGAGAGCTGAGAGGCGCGAGTTCACCGCCGCAGCGACAGGTGATGGAGGCAGCCTGCCCGCTCTGCGGTGACAGGCCGTGTTCTCGATGGACATCTCGATGGAGCTGTCGATAGGCGCTTGTCGAATTTGTCTCACTATTTATTTGGCAAAGCAGTTAGCAGCGTCAGATCGACGCATGCTCCGATCGAGTGCTACTCGACCGGCTCGCGCCGGTTTCTAGTGTAGAGAAAAAAAGTCGACCGCCGCAAGCCGTGCTCGCCACGCATCGCGTGTGGTGCGATCCCGCCGTCGGAGCCTCGAAATCGAAGGTCTATAAAGTCGATCCGCATTGGTCGGGCTCAAGATGAGCTGCACTCGAGCGGGCAGATGCGGCCGGGGATTCGCTTTCTGAAATGTCTGCCTCCAAAGGGGAAACGACTAACCTGATCTCAGAAGTGTTTTGTGGAGAGCCAATCAGATTCTAGTACAATGTGTATTCAAGACGGCCCTGCATCGAGCAATTCCGGAGTGGCTGTCCGGCTAAGCGTTCGAAGGCCACGCGAGCGACCACAGCCACTGCAGCGAATATCGTCCATAACCCCTCGGTGCCGGGGGTGGTAGCCTCAAGGGTGGTCCCTCGTAGATGGTGCCACCCCACACTCTGCTGTTGAGATCCTCTTGTTTCCCCTGCGCCCCCTCCTGGTTTGCAAGTCGGCGCTCCGCGGGAGCCCCGTACTTGAACTCTTGATCTGTCGCGACGCGCGGTGGGACCGCGTGTTGCTGGCACGAGTCCTTGTTGTTTTGGAATTTATACTTGTCGAAGAGTACCCGAGAGCCGACCGACGCGTACAGAGCGCCACCGCATTTTGAGGCGACATTGTGATCCACATTCGACTGGTGGACCTCGGCCTCGCCCTCGACATACAGGCCTCCGCCAAAGGTGGCACGGTTCCATCGAATGGCAGTGTTCGTGAGGACCAGCTGTCCTCCAACAGAAAAGATGGCGCCACCGGCGGCGTGCATCACGCAGCCTCCCTCCCCGATCTGCGCCGTCCAGCCTGGCTCTGAGCTTCGGGCTGCCCCCACGTTGATTAGTTCGATCTCCGGCATTGTCGGGTCGCACGCGCGTGCGTTCCCATTCTCGAGCCGCAGCGTGTTCACAGCAAGCGACGAGAATTTGCCAAGCCGGAGGATTGGGAAGCGGCCGCCGCCGTCGATGACAGTCCCGATGGGCTGCACCTGCCCGTGCCCCTTGCTGTCCTCCACAAAGTCGTGGTCCATGGTGCAGTACACATTCTTTGAGTTGCAGCGTGGCTTCTCATGTGGCCCTCGGCCGACTGAGCCAGTTACCTGCACGCTGCCAACAACCTCAGGCAGTGGCCCTGAGAGTAGAAAGCGACCGCCAGTCAGTGTGATTGACACAGTTGATACTCCTTCCATTGTTTGTGCGAGCTCCAGTGCAGCTCTGAGTGTGCAGTTTGAGGCTGCGATGAGCCCCTCCTCCAAGGTGTGGCAGGTCGCAGCGCGGCTCCTCGGGATCGGCGAGCACGCGCCGTCTTCCTCGCGCTCGATGCGATCCTCGAGGTCACCGACAATGATGCTGACATCCGGAAGGAGCGGGTGCGCAGCTTGGCAAAGGGCAGACAGCAAGAAGACGCGCATCTGTCAGATCATCCTGCAGGGCCAAACTTGAGAACTGCGGACGGTCCTCCCCCCAGACCCGCTGCGGAATGCCAAGAGACCAGCACCAGGGAGAGACATGCACAACATGACATGAACATGAGCATGTGCATGTGCATGTTAGGTTAGGTTAGGTTAGGTAAAAAGGTGAAGAACAGTCAGGCTCGGTCTGGACACCATCCCTCTCATAAATAAAAAGTAAAGGCCGAGTTGGACGGTAGTTCGATGTGGTCGATTTGGCGACCCTCCCGCCGCGCCCGCCCCTGCCTCCCGGGGGCCCAACCCGAAGCGCCCGGCCGCTCGGCGGCGCCGTTCGGCCGACGGGGCCAGCCGTGCGGCGCCCGGTCGCCCGCCGCAGGACCGCGCCCGAGCGGCCCACGCGCACGGCCTGGCCTCAATCGCCACTCTCTGCGGCGGGATCGGCACCGTCGGCGCCCTCTGGATCCTCCTGGCACTCCTCGGCTTTCTCCCGACGGTCGGCGGCACCAACCCCGTGCGCTTTGAGTCAGACTCGATCCTCGGCATGCACATTCTGAGGAGCCGCTCCGACTTCCCCACAGCTGGACAGTACCTTGCGTATCAGCGAGACACGTACACGAATGTGACCGGCCGGGATCTGTAGCTCGAGGCGGGACGCACGACTTCCCTCTTCAAAACCATGACCGAGACACTCGACCTCGCCCGTACCAACATCGCGAGCGGCGTCAAAACGGACGATTTGAAGCCGATCAAAGACCTGCTAATTCGCCAGCATAAATTTATGTCTTGAAGGCAACAGACACTTCGGCCGCTTCGTTCTCAACGACAGCGCTCGCACAAGGCCGTCCTCATGGCGGAGGTGCGATGACGTATTAGACAAAACACGCTCGGCGCTCTGCAGAAGCTCTCGCTCCGTCGCTCGCCGCAGAATGCTATGATCGCGGCGGACGTGATCGAGTGGCTAGTGGGTGCGCTCGCCGACATCGACCAGCTCTGCCTGTACTCAATCGAGTACGGCGCGGCGTTGCTGATGAACCTCTCCTTGCGCACGGCGGGCAAGGTCCGACGCCACGCCTGAGCGCCTTGCTTCCCGCCCAGCCTGAGTCGCCTTACCCGCCATCACTCTATCCCAACCGGCACTGCTGTGCAGGCCAAGTGCGCTGACCCGTCGCTCGACATCTTGCCGGTGCTCTCGCAGCTGATGGAGTCGGACTCGCTGCAGGTCTTGCGGTGTGTCTAGCGGCATTGCCTTTCAAGGGCTCACGCCCACCTTGCCCACGCCTAGGTGCGCACGTACGTCAACGGCACGCTGTACTCTATCCTTGTCCGTTCGTCGCTCAAGGAGCACGCGGCGGAGATTGGCCTACCAGATTCGCTACGTGCGCTGATCGAGCACTCAGACGACACGCTTGCGCGCCAGATCAACTACATCCTTGAGCAGCTCGAGTCGCCGCCGGCAGACGACGGCGCCGCCTCGGATGACGAGGATGACGACGCGGAGGAGGACGCGGAGGATGAGGGTGATGTCGATGACGACGAGGCACGAGAGCATCCTTAACCCAGGGCACTCCACTTTCCCCAGCGCTTCTGTCGTCCTCCCACTCAAGCCGCGCTGTTCCGCCTGCAGGTGGACTTGTTTGCCGAGTCGCCACTCGACCTCTCGGCTGCCGACGGGGCCGCCGGCGAGGAGCTGCTCTGCTCGCATTACATTGCCGGCTTCGCCGACGCGCAGCGCGAGGCGGCGAGGCTCGACGACAACGACCCGCACCAGGCCGAGGCGGCAAGGCGCGCTGCCGCTGCGCAGGCGGCAACCGCGCGGGGAATGCCGGTGCGTCGGTACCACTCTTCGGACGAGCCGCTGCAGAGGCCCGCCACGCCTGGCTCGGTGCGGCCGCCGCCACCTGCTGGTGCCTCCCAGCCGAGCAGTCGGCCACCGTCTCGCCCACCGCCACCGAGCCAGCCCTTGCCGCCCCCCGAACCGCCGGTCGTGCGACCGGGCTCTAGCGCGCCGGCCGACGAGGTGTTCGCTCTGCGGAGCAAGGTGCCGCGGACGCCACAGGTCAAGACACGCGCCGAGCTCCAGCCGCTCCAACCCGCGCTGACCAAGTCCGAGCGCGATCGCGTCCGGGCGAAGGCACCGTCTGAAGCAGCACCGCTGTAATCGCACATTCAGTGGCTCTTGGGTGTGGCCGTATGCACTTGGAGCAAATAAATAAATAAATAAAACGGACACACCAAACAAGGGGTGGGAGAAGGACAGGGTCCCCACCTGCGCGAGCAGGATCTTGTAAGGACGATCAGGGACACAGGGGAACGGGAGCGGGGAGCGCATCGCGACACGGAGGGGGGCTGGGCAGGGTTCACCCACACGACAGGGTCCCAGCGAGGGATTCCCCTCTCGTATAGGACAAAGTTGCACCCGGCGGCACGGGGGCAGGCGCGGGCCTCCTACTGGTTGCGCTCTCCTAGTTCTCCTGCTAGTGGAGCACTTGGTGCGGTATGTGAAGTGTTGTTTTTTCTTATCACGGTGTTGGGTGCCTGCTCGAATGAAATCGATTTTCTGTGGTGCAGCACGCCATCCCCTGGAAGATGACGGAGCGCCACCTTTTCCAGAACTACTATCGTACGGTGTGCTCATATACCCTCGCTTTGGCCTCTCCGTCCACCCACCGCCGTCGCGCTCCAAGTAGACACCATTGCCGCTGGCCCATCACCGTTGCGGCAGTGCTCACTACCGCCACGCCACTGGCCATGTCTCGCCCCGCGTCCCTTAGACTACTCAGGCGAGTCGCAGGCCGACCGGTGGATGGCGTATGAATCTACGATGCAAGACGAGGACCGAGCATTCATCGTGGGTCTGAGCGAGTCGGAGAAGCAGGAACTGCAGCAGATGAAGGAGTTCGAGCTTCACCAGGCGCACACCAAGGACATCGAGGGTGACCTCATCCAGGGAGTGGCGAAACACACCTGCATTCTGCCGCTCAACGGATCGTATGTCGGCGTCAACGGAACGCTAGTCTGGTCACCGAAGGTCACGCTCCTCTTCTCGGCCTCGCCGCTTGCGACAAGCTGCGCGGACATGCCCGTCCTCCTGCTGGTCCTCGTCCTCGTAAGCATCCTCGTCGCCATCAGCTCGGCCGGCGGTGCACCACTGAGGAAGCATACGGTCGCGCACGCAGCCTTCACCAATCCATCTCTGCTGCTCCCCCCCCCCGTGAACCCCGCAGGGGGCTCGGCAACAGCCAGGGACGTCGCGCTCGAGCAGTTCGCGAAGAAGAAGTACCGGACCGGGTGCACGCCGTCCAATCCCTCTCGTCCCGAAACGTTGCCTCCGTTGCGGCCTCCTCTCCCCAGCCATACCGCACAATCATACGCTTGCAACCAGCTTGCTACCGACCGCTCAGGTACTCGCAGCTGTAAAATGAAAGAGCAACTCCCCCGATGCATGCGCCACTGGAGTCGCTTCTCGCGGCGCTGGACCGATCGCCACGTGCAGGTTACTCGCGGGCAGAAGCTTGTCCGAAATGGTTGTGTCGGAAGTACGAGAAGAGACCGCAACACGTGTCTGTTGTTGAGCAGAGGTAGGGACCCACTACTGTCTCGCCCTCGCTCACAGGCGTTCATTGGGGGACCGCATGGGAAAGGGGGGGGGGTCACATCATCTCCCTTGGTAGAAGTAAGATGTCGCTTGTCGGCGGCGGCGGTCGGGCGGGGTTGTGCTTGTGGCTTCTGAGTTATGAGACTTGAGAGTGCTGTGTCATCCCACGAGTCGCCGTGTGTGAGCGCATTTAATGTGCGGACTGGAGGCGGAGCACACGATCGTCATCGAGATCGAGAACTAAATAAATAGATAAAACGAACACCTCTACTAGGAGATGGGTAAACAGGAGCCAGTCCCCGCCCATGTGCTCTTTTTGTGCAGGGTTCTCTCTTCTGTCTCTCTCTTTTGTGTGTCGCTCGCGCGGGAAGACAAATCCCCTTTCGGCCAAAATGCAAAAGGAAAACGCACCTCCACCCAGGCACCCCTCGCACAGCTAAGCATCTACTCCCGCGTCAGTACGCTCCAGCACACTCACAGGCCCCAAAGACACCCTCTCCCTCGAAACTTGACAAAAATCCCGCACACACCACACCCCGAAACAGCAACACGCAGCACACGCAGCACCATCTCACCACTGTATACATGCAACTCGCACACATAAAATGATACAGGCGAGCGCCTCTCGCACAGTCCATAGCCAGCGTCAGAGCTCATCGTACTGTATATCGCCGCGAGGTATCCCCTTCTTGAAGCTCTCGAGCTCGTTGCAAATCGAGCAGCTCTGTAAACCGACGTGCGCAGTAACCAGTGAGTGGGACGCAATGTCCAGTGAGTGAGGCGGGGAGGATCCCCCGGGATGGCTTGCCTGCGGACACTGCTTGAGCATTCCCTTCTCCGAGCAACGTCCGGCCGCTGCCCACTCTTGACACGCCTCGTCCCGGTCGTAGCAAACCGCCGAGCAGATGCCACACGTGCGAGGGCACAGCGGCAGCACAGTCTTTGGATCGGCCATGCAGGCCTATGTTGAGGCCGCGGTGGCTGAAGAGGCACGGGCTGCGCGGCTCCCTCTGAATTACTGTTGAGGAGCGCCTGTGCCCCGAGTTCTGAGCAGAGAGTCGCGTTGGTGTCGGCGCAGTGGCGAGCGCCGCACACGTCGCATGAGTCTGGGCAGGACGGGAGGACGGCTCCGGGATTCCTCTCGCATTCGCCGGCAGCAGCCCACCCAGGGCAGTCAGTTCGCTGATCCTGCGCCCACACCTCAATTCTTTAGTCGGGCTGGCGGCGGCAGGTGTGCGGCGTCAGGCGGCGCGCCTTGCACTCGAGGTCGCACACGCCGCAGGCGACAGGGCATAGTTTAAGCATGTAACTGGAGTTGTCACTGCACGCGCCCTCCGCCGCCCAGCGGACGCAACTCTGCATCATGTCCTTGCAGGTGGGGGTGCAGATGCCACAAGAGGTTGGGCAGTTGCGGACCATGGTCTCTGCATTCGTCTGACACTCGCCGCGCCGCGCCCATTGCGCGCAGTCATCGTGCATGTCAGCGCAGCGGTGGCTACAGCTTCCGCACGACAGCGGGCAGTGCACCTAGGAAAGTTAATTCCTTCTTACGAGAACGAACTGCCTCGAGCAAACTGCAGTGTCCTGCTCTAAAGCGGCAAGAGCTCACCGCTAGCCACGCCGCATTAGGGCCTTGGCACTCTCCCTGCTTGGCCCAGCCGGAGCAGGCCGGGTTTTGGTCAGAGCAGAAGCCCAGGCTGGAAGCGTATTCCCTCTCCTCGTATTCGCTGTCACGCAGAGAGCCACGGTGGCAGTGATCCGCCACGCATTTGTCGCACAGCACCGGAAGAGTGATGTACTCGGAGCAGCAGGAGTCGCAGACGGTGCACCCGCGAGACGGGTTGCACTCGTTTGCCGAGGCGCCGCCGCGCCCCACCGGCGCGGCCGTCGCGCGCGGCAGCGTCGCTAGCAGCAAAGCGACCTTCATCGAGTACGTCACGCGCGTCATCGGGCGCTGCTTTTTCTTTTACCTTCCTCCCTCCCGTGTTGTAGCGGACACTTTCCACCCTGGCAGGCGAAATTCTTGTTGGGCCAGCGTTTTTCTACTTTCGCCGCCCTCGCCCGTAATACGGCGAGAGCGGGTGCGCTCCCTGCCCGTGAAAAGACCTACTGACTGACGACCGGACGGTCAGGGAATGTCTGCCTTTGGCAAGCTCGTCGATCAGCTTCGGTCACAGAACTACGTCGCTCACGACGCTGAGGCGCCGCGCACCTTTGATGGCGTGCCACCCTCGCCGTCGCTGTGGGACCGTGCGCGGCAGGCCGCCGGCGTGGGGCCTCCAACAGCGCGCGAGGAGCTGGTCGACCAGGTCTGTCCGAGCATGACTTTCCAGCAGCGACTATACGCATTTGCCATCTGCTTCTGCATCAGCGTCGCAATCTCGATCACATCGGTCTTTTCCGTCGCGCAGCTGATCGGTGGAAGGCCAGGCCCGTTTGCCGTGAAGTGCGCTTGCGGCGTCTGGGCGCAGCCCGGCGCGCTAGTTGACAGGCCCCGCGCCCTCCTCGTCAGGTACACGCTCGGCAACGTGCTCTCTCTCCTGTCGACAGGCTTCATTCTCGGCCCAAAGCGGCAGATCAAGAACATGAGCCACCCGACCCGGGCCGCCTCGGCGCTGGTCTACATCGGTGCGATGGTGGCGACGCTCGTCAGTGCGGAAGGGCCACGGCGCCGCCGCTCACCAGCCCGCCCGTTCCGAGGGAAGGCGTCTCTGTAGGTGCGGTCGGTTTGCAGAACGCGCTGCTTGTGCTCGTGAGCGTCATCGTGCAGTTTGCCGCAATGGCGAGCGGGACAGAGGGTCGGCATGGCGGGTCCATCGCCGTCATCTCGCCCTATTGCCCGCCTCAGGCGTGGTACGTCCTCTCGTATATACCCTACGGCCAGAGAATCGCTTCGTCGTTCGCCGCGCGCTTGCTGGGCCCGCCAGAAGAGCGGCCCGCAGCCCCGCCTCGTTGCCGTGGGATCTTCAGCTCGACGCCCCGTAGGCTCGTCGGACGAGGGCTGACGCTGCACTGCGAATCAGGAGGGTGCGTGACGCGAGGTGCATGTCGGCGGCCGTAGGTAGGTGGAGGCTGCTGTGTGGTGTGTGTGTGTCTGTGCACACCTGTATGTGTGTGTGGCAGGAGGAGTATACACAAAATCTGTGTCTCTCGCTCTCTCTTCACACACACTTCTCTCATCTTACGACAAGGCGCACACGGCACACCCACACGCGCAACACATACACAGTCACACACACACACACAGATCGAGCGCCGGTCCCTGACCCTCTCCGCCCGCTCTCGGCCCCGTCTCCCACCGTCTCCCACACACCGTCCCACGGCCACGCGCTTCCGACACACAGAGCTCAGAGGGATAGAGTACCTAGGTACAAAATCTGGCCGCGAGCTGCGAGCCGATCCTTCACAAATCACAGGTCACAGCTGAGCTCACACACACTTCCGAAGACGAACATGCAACAGAAATGATTTCGCTCCACACGGCCCGTGGAAAAAGCGTGATCAACGGCAGCCGCGGGCCGCCGGCTGGAGGTGGAGTCTTCGGGGAGCAGAGAGCCCGCCCCCCAGCGCCACCCTATGTATCTCGCGAGTCGTGTGCCCCCCATCGGAGGAGGACTTGAGTCTGAGTCTCCCATGAGCAACAATCATCAGTTCGCGAGTGAGTGCCTAACTAAGCGCAATCTGTTGATTCCACCCAAACAAATCACACCCAGAACGTGTACATTGAGAGAGCGTAAGGCACTCCAGGCCTAGGTCCTGCTTTTGCTTTTCTCCCAGTAAGCACTGGTACTACATTAAAAATCCAGCGCAGTACAAATGGGGGACCGTTCCCCCGGGCCGACGGATCTTGTCATCGGCATTGGAGGACGCACGTCGGCGGGGGCTCCAACGCGCTGGGGCTGGTGACCCCGCTGGCCCTTTTCGCTAACCCTGCCCATATCCGCATTGCCGCTTCTCACTCGCCCACTTCTCCCTCCCGCGTCAGTGACCCGAGCGCAAGATGGAGACTCCAGCCCATGCGCCGCGTAAGGATGCGGTGTTGCACACGCTTTCAAAGGCCTGGGACAGCGGCACTGAGTCAGCGAGCGGAATCATGCAGGGAGCAAAGCACCACCTGCTCGAGGAGCCCATGCGCGATGCCATCAGGCAGGCCATGGCGCCGCACATGACCTACGCCGAGCAGGTGGAGGAGGTGCGGAAGAGCAACCGCAAGCAGGTCAAGGCTATCGCGCGGGAGGTGTCGATGCAGTTCAACAAGGAGGGCTACCATCTCAAGCCGCTGGAGGAGGTGTGCGACGAGTTTGGCTGCGAGTCGACAAAGACCGGCCTCACGTCCAGCCAAGTGACGCGCAACCTCAAAAAATTTGGAGCCAACGAGCTGGGCACCGACAAGCCGACGCCCTTTTGGGTCATCTACTGCCGCCAGCTCTACCAACCGCTGATTCTGATCCTCTTTACCCTGTTCATCCTCACCGTGCTAAACATTCAGCGCGATATTGCATCCCATGGCCACCCGAAGATCAAGAACTGTGTTAAGATCACCGTTGTGACGACCGTGATCCTCGTCGTCACCATCCTCAATGCGCGTGGGCAGTACAATACCGCCAATGCGCTCGCCGAGCTGCTCAAGGAGGGAGCTCAGATGACGACGGTGCGCCGCGACGGCAAGGAGTGTCAGATCGAGGTGCCCGACATCGTCCCTGGCGACGTCATTATTATGCGTTCGGGCGATACCGTCCCGGCTGACGCGCGGGTGGTCATGTCGGAGGACTTGCAGACCGTCGAGAAGACCCTGACGGGCGAGCCGCACGAGAAGACGAAGAAGCTCGAAGCAGCGGACGACCCGACCGCCTCCTTCCACGACAACCTCGTCTACTCCTCCACCGCTGTCGTCGGCGGCAAAGGAGAGGCCGTCGTCATCCGCACGGGCCTCGAGACCGAGATCGGCAAGATCGCGGCGCGGCTCAAGGGCCAAGATTCTGGTAGGTCGCAGCTGCAGAAGCTCATGGACACGATCGGCGGCGTCATCATTTGTATCTCGGTCATCCTCATCATCATGATGACCTGGTACGAGGTGACCGTCAACTACTGCACCAAGGACAAGTACCCGGGCGGCCTCTCCACCTGCCCGATGGACGAGATGATCGACGCGCTGTTCTCGGCGCTCTCCATCGGGACCATCATGCTCCCGACGACGCTGCTTCTCATGGTGACCACGTCGCTCACCCGCGGCGCCCTGATCCTGGCAAAGATCAACGCTCGCGTGACGAAGGTCACCGCCGTCGAGACCCTCGGCTCCTGCACCGTCATCTGCTCCGACAAGACTGGCACCCTCACGGAGGGCGAGATGACGGCAACCGAGATGGCCACCGTCATCAACGTCAAGGGCAAGTGCCAAGTCAACTGCTGGGACTTCAGGCCGACCCGCGGCTTCGACCCGCGCGGAGGTGTCTTTGTGCTGGCGGAAGGAGCATCGACCGTCGGCGGGGCGGCATCGCGCAAGACGGCGGCCAGCCTGCGCGTGTCGGCGGCTGCGTCTCGCATGAGCACCGGGCCTGCTGGCGGAGGCAACGGCTGCGAGAAGGCAGCCGACGTGCACTGCGCGCTCCTCTCCGCTTACCTCAACTGCGACGGCGCCGCTTTCGAGCTGGACGACGAGGGTGACGTGGGCAAGGACGTGCCCCAAAAGTGGAAGGGGGTTGGAAATATGACCGAGAAGGCGCTCGTTGTCGCGGCAGCCAAGGGGCAGATCTACGATCCGAACAAGAAGGGGCTGCCCGAGGCCAAGTTCCCGGCCATGCGCGACAAGTACCCCTCTGTCCACCACCTCGGCGTCCCTTTTACCAGCTCTCGCAAGATGATGGGCACTGTCCACGAGCTCAGGTGAGTGTGTGTGTGTGTGTGTGTGTGTGTGAGAGAGGACCGGCGGCACGCAACATAAGGAGAGGTTGGAGAGCACTCCCACATGCGAGTTAGCCTCTCACTCCCTGCTCTACCGCACTGTCCCAGTGGCAAGGGCGAGGGCTTCTATGCCAGCGGGATGGTGATCGTCCCTGGTGCCACGCACATGGCCATCCTCAAGGGCGCACCGGACCGGCTGATGCCGTACGTGCACGCAGTGCCGACTTGCCCGGAGAAGAATGAGATGGGCGACGCACGCACGCTCAAAATTACGAGCGGCGCGAAGAACGAGACGCCCGACGCCCAGTCCCTTTTCAAGCAGGCCAACAAGGACTTTGCCGACAAGGCGCTTCGCGTCATCCTCGTCGCGATGCGCCCGCTGACCGCCGCCGAGGCGGAGGCGCTCGGCAAGATGGAGGACGGCGACGAGCGGCTCACCTACCTGCTCGAGGGCAACACGACCTACCCGCTCACCTTCACCGCAATGATGGGCCTCAAGGACCCGCCGCGCGACGGCGTCAAGGAGTCCGTCGAGCTCGTGCAGAAGGCGGGCGTGTC